AAAGCTATCAACTCGAGCCCCCTCCCCCCCTCACTTTGAATTTCTAGACGCCGCCCCTGCAATCATAGCTTCAGTTTAACCTTAGCTACCCACCGTGGTCTGTATCAAAAGGTCTTATTATGAATAAAGATTAACTTGCCTTCAAAATTGTTGATCCCATATGCTCTCCTTTCACCTTTCATGTATTCATATTGACATTTTCTTTCTCTTCAGACAGAAATCTGCCATGGAATATCCAAACGATGCGAAATCGGATTCTTATCTTACCAGGAAGTTGAAAATCCAAAAAATATTACGGTATCTTGAAGCTTTATCAGAAAAGCAACCATACTTTGTCAGAATTAATTTTTTTTCCAAGGCTTAGTTGTAACAATTGCAAACTGGTTACTCCATGCGAGAGAAATGATAGGGGTACATCATTATTGCATCTTGTCCTTTTTTCTAAAAATTGTATCCAGTCTTAAATTAGAGCGGGTGGCTGACAAAGCTTTCACGTCGCACAGATATGTGTCAGTAATGTCTCCTATGATATAAATCATTGCAAAGGTAACGGTTTTACGGGGAGTTGACTGATCATCTGAAAACTGATTTTTCAAGATGCTCTCAGCGAGCTCTATGTAAATCAACCCTAGAATATCTGCTTTCCTTTCCATCTGCTATAAACTCATGGATATCAAACTTTAAGCAATATATAGAATCTCAGTTCGTTTACAAGAAAATAAACGTTTACAAGAAATTTCCTAGCTACATTATCTTGCAATGTTGCAATTCTTAAAACTTCTTTTCTCGTAAGTCATCCTTTCTCTTAGATATCAGATTCAGTTAAATTTAAACTCTGAAGACTTTGACTCATCTGCCTAGCCTTCAGATACGACACAACATTGACTGACCCCTCCCCACCAGGACAAATAGCTATTTTAATTCTAAACAATGTCGCTTTTCGGCATTATCCGAGTGATCAGCCCGAAGCACCTCATGCACTTTTGTCTACCATTTCCACGCACGACGAAGTCGGGAAATGGGGGGGGGGGGGTGTTACCCCCTCACTATTTTGCTGAAATGTGATATTAATATTGTGGGATCAAAACCAATGATAGAAAAGCTACCATATAAGCTTGGCAACCTGTCTAGAGAAGAAAACCCCCCTTCCCACCCTAAAATGTGTTCCGGACTCTCTGATTAAAGCTGTTTTGATGATACATACTCTGCCTGTCAAACAGTCTCGAAAAAGCCAAATAATATCTGAAAAATGATGGCAAAAGAGAAAGTCGCCTATGCTGTCATGAACAAGGGAGCTTTTATCACGGTGGAGTTCTCAAACGTGAAGCTCTTCTACGTCCAACTATAGTAAATAAAGAAAATTTATGAAAGCGTAATAAATGGAAATCCTCGTATCTCCTTGCTTGTAGGCCTCCAAAATAGATTTTAATATACCTCCTTGTTTTGTAACATTGATTCGCATCATTATTTATTTTTAAAGGTTGGAAGTATGCTGAAGACTCCTGTTTTTCCTATTTGGGTGGTTTTTACAAGTGACAAGGCTGGTGTTCTATACTGCAGAAAGAGACAGCTTTTGAGTGACTGGTTTGTATGAATAGTTTTTAGGTAAACTGCAATACCCCGCGTGTATGTCGTTCGTCTTCCTCGTCTTACGCCCTGATATTAGGGGAAGGCGGCATATGTGCGGAGTTCATACCCCCAAGTTCAATTTGAGTAACTTGAAAGTGAATATCGACAAAAACAATGTTTTTGTACAAAACAATCGGAAAGACATATGTTATCCGTGTGTCAAATTTAGGGATGTTATGTAGTAAAACACACCGCATAGCTGCCAGTTAATGATTAAAACAAGCCAAAAATGTATCTTCCCGACATTTCAAGCATTATATTAGGGTTGCGGTATATGTCTGCTTATACGCAGGTTTTACCGCATTACGTTTCGTTTTGCAGATAATGATAAATATTGAAACATTTATCCTAGTTCCCTTTCAAGTGAGACTTCGCTTTTCATTAACTGTCATCAATATCCGCAACTGTTAAAATAACAAGTCGCTTGTCGTAGGCCAGCAACTCATGCTGATGATAACCCTTCTATGCATGTAATGCCTATGATGACCAAATGTCAACGCATTTTTTGTCGATTTTATCTGATAGGGAGAAACATTTAAAAGGGTCCATATTGCTAGCATATTATTTGGAAAAACAGTTGATATAGGACGGAAAGGGCTCATCAGTGGAGGGGCGAAGCAATGGTTTTAAGTTTTAATTGGTAGGGCAGCAAGAGGGAGCAGTTTACCGCTCAGTATTTGGGAACTGCCCTGGCACATGCAAGCAAATAAATTTGTTTTCGATGTTCATTATGCTTGTCATCGATCGCCACATTTTTTAAGGATCTGAGATACAAGCTACTGTTCATAGGCAAAGGTGCATTCTCCCCATTGTTTCCCTCCAGGGCCATGCCATTGGAGAAATATTAGTATTTTAACCCCCCCCCCGCCATTCACATTTAATGGAATTAGCTTTGTTGAAACAAGGAGAGCTTGTTACGCAGTTTAGTATTGGTTATGATATAATTCAATTGTATCTGAAATGCTTAAGCCCCTCTATTGGACAACTAGGCCCTTTTGTTCAAAAGCTTCTGTGAACCACCTCCTACTCTTATTTCACGAATAAAGAAAGGTTGATTGTTCTTACTTCTATCTTCTTTGGTTCCTCGTGCAAGTTTAAAATAACTAATGGATGATGGATTTATTAAAGGCCTTCAACTGTATTCCGCATGACCTTCTTATTGCAAAATTTCATGCTTATGGTTTTGATGAAAGTTCTCTAGTCCTTATTTACTCCTATTTAAAAAGGCGCTTACAAGCAGTTCGAATAAATGATACTTACAGTGACTTTCAATCTTTTTTATCAGGGGTACCGCAAGGATCAGTCCTTGGCCCTATTCTTTTCTATTTCTACATTAATGACCTGTTTTATTTCATTAAAAAGGCTTCTCTTGTGAATTACGCAGATTACAACACTTTAACATATTTTTCAAAAGACCTGCCGTAATTAATTAACGTCTTGGAAAAAGAAGCAAGCATCGCCCTTACCTGGCTCAATCAGAATGAAATGATTGCTAACCCAGACAAATGACATGCTCTTCTCGTCAGAAAGGATGAAAAATGTACCATTGGATATTTCTATTCAAGGAAAAACTATAAATTATGAAGTTTCAGTAAAGTTGCTTGGCGTAACTATCCATCACAAACTTAATTTTGACATTCACATATCCGAACTTTGTAAAAAGGCAGCAACCCAGCTAAATGTGCTCAAAAGACTTAAATCTTTCATTGGCTTTGATGAGAAAAAGGTATTGGTCCAAAGCTTTGTTTTCCCTAACTTTAACTACTGCCCTTCAGTGTGGCTCTTCTCCTCGGCTACATCTATGGAGAAGATAAAAAAAATACAGGAACGAGCCCTACGATTCCTTTACGTTGACCATGATTCATCTTATAGAGATCTGCTTTGCAAATCAAAAAAATGCACAGTTCATGAAATTCAGCAAAGGAACCTCTGTATTGAAATTTTAAAAACTGTAAAAAGGTTAAATCCTGAATTCATGCAAAATATTTTCGAACAAAGAACCTCTGCTCGATCCTCACGTCGTCCACAAGACTTGCAGCACTACAGGCCAAACCAAACAACTTTCGGTACAAACAGACTCAGGTCCCTCGGACCACAAATTTGGAATGGCTTACCGCAGAAAATAAAATATGCAGAAAATCTGATCCAATTCAAAAGATTAACTAAAAACTGGGACGGGGCAACCTGTACATGGAACGTATGCAAAACTTAATGATTTTATTGTAAATTTGTGTTTAAAAACTATAAAAAATTGTTAATTTAATTTGTATATTTTATAAATAATCGAATTAGACAAGTAACGGTTGTGTAGCTTAAAATTTATATTTTCGATTTAGAATAAGATTACAACAGCAACAACTAATGTTTGGACTTTTTCGTCTATCAAAGGAAGCTTGAGAGGAGATTTGATCTACACTACCACGGAAGAATGCCTCGTCATCTGTCAATCCCTCATGAAGATATCAGACTAACAATCGGTTTGTCAAATAATTCATCAACCTTTCGCATATTTTATTTTATGTTTTTGTAAATATTTTGTTTTTGTATTTGCTGCTATGTTATCCTTGATAGAACTTGATAGAACGCTCGAAATCAGGATCAATGAATCTCAGGGATAATGTAAAAGAAGTCTAGAACAAAACTAGAACTGCATTTAAACGCAGAGCAGGCGTAATATGGAACAGACTACCAATTAAAGTGAAAAGCATTGAGAACTTTAGACATTATAAAAAGGAGTTATCAAAAATAAGTAATACTTTAGACACGATTTCATTTGGAATTTCATCTTCAGTTTCTTTTACTCAATCTGACTTTAGATATTTCTAAAAAACATATTAGTGCAACGTGTTGATATATTAATATTTTTTGCCACATTGATTTCAAACGTTTAAATTTTAGCACAAATAGTCACTGTAAGATTTTTTGTTGTCTGTGTTTTTCTGGCATGTTTTAAATGTGAAATGAACAAATGTTTAGGCATTCTTAATGGTCTTGTTTTAAGCCATTTGAGCACTCCAGATCTACTGAATTTTGGAATTCTTCTGCTCCCAACCCTGGACCCCGGATCCATTGTTCACTAGCTGCGCTCGTGAAATCTCACAGGTGCTATTTTTCAAAACTTGGCAACCTTGTATTTTGTTCGATTTTGCTAAAAGCTATAGTTTGTTGTTGGATACATATCAGGGCGTGTCTAAAACCTATTGCAAATGAGAAAACTTCTTAAAGATGTGATGGATGTGTACTATGACAGAAAACTACAATGATGCCTTTGGTTTTCAGATACAGTGCGTCCTTTTGACCCAGAGGAAACTGAGTACGAATTCAACTCTGAGCTAGAAGACACTATCAGGACAAAGTAAGTACACGGCATATAAGTTCAATTGTACTTACACACCTACAAAATTGTGATTATTGACGAAGATGGATTTTTCAACTTGATCTATTTACATTGTTCGAAATCCTCTCTGTTAAAAAATACATTGTTTGGTTATATTTCTGGTACAGTGATTCACCTTGCCCAAACTTACACCTCTATCTCAAAGGTAGAAACAAGTTGTCTGGAATAATGAGAATAATTGGTTTAATTAACATCCTTTTGATTATCAGAATCCAGAAAAGTTGTCAACCTTCCTCCGGCCAAGAAAATCTTACTATCGAACCTTCCTAATTTTAATGGGTTTAAATTGAGCATAGTTAGAAAACGGGGTACGCAGCCAGTACTGACCTCCTTTCCTGGTAACTCTGCTTTTTCAAACTTTTACTAGAAATTTGTAGCTTATTTTCAATTATAAATATTTTTAGAAACCGATGTAGAGTAGAATGCTTACATTGATTAATGAAAAATCATATAATTCAAATATTTAAGTTATAAAAAGTTAATGCCTAAATTTTGAAGTGCAAAATAGTTCTGCAGACATACTCACATAAAAAAGCAGGAGATTTTTGAATTTCATTCTTCATTCTTTGAGTTTTTCAATTTTTTTTGGTGGCTGTATTTTGAATCAAAGTCTAAAAAGAATTTTCAACTTCCTGAAGTTTCCAAATTTTTGGTTACCTTCCTCAATTTCTCTTTGTTTCTACAACCTTTCTCCGGCCAGTGACCATGGGGCCGTGATGTTTTCCTGAATCTGTTGATAATACGTTTGTTTCAAAGCTCTACATTCTATACTTTGTATTGCATTATAGATTAGCAGTTTTCCTTGCTATGCCTTTCAATTTTGACAGCAATCCGTTCAGATATAGAATTCCTCCGCCCCAGCTCAGTCTTTATGTGCTCAATTTTATCTTTCCATATTCTGGACATATCAGTGCCAACGCAGGCAATCGAATAAATGCTCCAGACTGAACGGTCTTTTGCCATTGTCAACTCATAACTGACACCAGCTATGAATGCTTTACTAATTTATTACGTTGCTTGTTTTTCTGTAGATGGCAAGATTGTGTTATCGAGTGGAACAATTATCAACGTTTTTAGAATTCGTTCAGCGTAATTGATACAGCATTGCGAATCAAATCCTGAAACATTTGCTATTGACCATCTACTGCTTGTTCAAAGAGGTACTATTTTGCAAAACAACATCACATAATTTTAAACGATTTTTAAGGGTTTTATTAGCTGAGCTTTGCCCCTAAAACTCTAAGCCCGTAGTCAAAAAACGCTCTGTCCATAGCAAATGAATCATATAACTGATTGATGCATTCATACAAAAAATCCATTGTTTCTTTAAAGAATCGAGATTCATACCGGTATTGGGCTTAAAGACTTGGAACCCAGAAAAATTTGGGTCGGTTAACTGTGAGGCCCGTGTCAAAGTTTCCCCTCCGAATCAAAATATTCAAAACTGAATATTGTAAAGCTAAGGTAGTGTTACTGTAAACATGTAGGTTTTATATTATGTTTTCTACTGTATTATCAACTCGTGCTCGTTGTTGGGAAATAATCCTCTCTCTTTAAAACATAGTCAGGTATTTTTCATCTTGGAAAAAGCTTTGGAGAGTTTCCCCTCTATATTTTTGTTGTAGTTTGTCATTGAATTGAAAATACTTTTATAATATGTAGATACTTTTAAAATGCATAGAAAATTGAGTGTTGAGATTGTAAACACACACAAGTGAAATGCCCTGGAAAAATTCTGTTTTGCTGAACAGGGGAGGCTTTGAATTAAGAATGAGCGCTGATTTTTCGTGTCACATAAACGGTTAAAAAGACTATTTGAACTTTGTTTAAATTTGTTCATTTTCTGGAAATCTACCAAAAATCTTTCAGGGGTTCAGAAATCCTTAACAAGATACCCATTATTTGAAGATTCCTTTTCATCGTACAAATGTAAAAGTGCACCCCTGTTGGACATAGGCTTTGGAACCCTTTTAGGATCTTTAAGGCTCTTCAGAGTCGTGTTTTATAAGCCTATCAGTCTTTGACTATTTTAGACTAGCTTAAAAATGCAATGAACTGAAGCATTTTTATTCACTAGCGATGTCCCTACTAAGTACAGCAATGGGCTGCAGAAACTCGGGTGGGTCTGGAGGTAATTACCTCCCTAAATATCGCTTGATTGTTAGTATAAATTCATATTGCTAAACTGGAAAATAAGTCTTTAATTTTTAGAAGTGTAGAACTAGAGTTTGAAAGCCTTTTTTCTCGCTGTTTGATCTTCCCAGTGAATAGGAAAACTTCCATCTTAGCATTAGGAAAGTCAAAGCACCCTGTTTTCCTTAAATCAGGCCATTGAATTGTTGTAAATCAGTTTACCTTTTAAGGCTTTAACGTGTTTAGATTGCTATTTCCGTCCATATGTACATCGTTATAGCTAAGAAAGATGTTATTTTGGGTTTATAACAAAGGACAAAATAATGTTGTGAATAGTATTAACTTTTGTATTGAAGTTTTTTAGAATTCGTGATCTTATTGTCAATGCATCAGACGTGAATCGATGTAACAGGTTTCAATAATATAAATTTGATAATATTGGGTTTGGAGTTTCTTGTATGGTTGTATAATAAGTTTAGAGTTGTGTTATATGTACATTATTCTTGCAAGAAAATCTTTCAAAGAAAAGTTTTTTTTCATCAATTTTTTGTAATTTTGTCGGTGTTTTTCAGTTTACATTGGTAGCAGTGTAGGCTAAAGCCAAACAACACTAGAACACTAGAAACTGTGCATCCAAGATCTACTTGTACACCTTCTGTAAGGAACACAGGCTGAAATTATTTTTGTGCTTATTTGGTAAGAATACTGCATTCTGATTTCAAGCTAAACATTTGTTGAAATCTGGCTATTCCAGTATCTTTGCTGGAATCGAGTTCATCGTTTCTTTGAAAATCTACATTTGATAACATTGCTACAATCTAGCTCAATATTCTAGCAAAATGATATGGGCAATGGCTCAATTATTCAATGGATACGTAGGTTAAGTCTGACCTATAATCTGGAAAAAACAATTTATTGTAGGGAACAAGAATTTTTTATAAATTTTTTCTTCAGATTTTGTTTCATCTTTTTTTTTTAACTTATGTGAAGGAGGCGCACAGCTATGATTCGCTCCCAGTCTACTTTGTACCACGTGGTACTTGGCATAAATGTCTTTCCTCCATATCGACATTCTTTCGCAGCTTTGCCTTCTGTAGATCCCGTTGTACGGGCGATTTGCCTCGCTCAGTCAAACTCTGCCACTTTGCTCATCATTTAAGCACTCAACAATGTCAGTTAACAAGAAATTCTTTGTAGGTATGTATAGTTGTTTACTGTTGAGTTTTTAGGGCCGTTTCACCGACACGCCGAGAATTTGCAAGCAGTCAAAACTAATATGGCGTCGTTTTCGATTTCCTACCGCCTTCCTTGCATGCTGCAACCCAGTTTACTAAACCCAGTCCCGCCTACTTATCTATACTTCTGTTGTTGTAGTACAAACAGACAACGCTCCTAAAATTTTATCATTTAGCAAATCTTAGCAGTGTAATAGTTTGAAATTGTCGGGAAAGAACTAGTTTATCCGAACAAGAATCTGACTTGCACGTGCGGAAGGAGAGGGAGGGACCGCTTACGAAGATTAATTATCTCTCAGAAATGCACGGGCTCCAGGTTCAAGCTTGTAAATCAGTCATAAATATCATTGTTCAATTTTGATTTTACTCAGATTGTCTTCTGTATCATACTTATCCCTTTCTATAAGTACCCCAAAACAGTAAATGGAATGGGTTTGGTATTTTTTAGTTTGGTCTGAATTTTACATGGTCACATTATTATTTGCAAGATGTGGTAATTCAATAAAAATATCTTTATATCTTTATAATTTTGGCTTAGGATATCTCTCCAATTTTTTTTTTCTAGACAATAAATGTTTACACAGGATGTCTGAAGGAATTTGGACTAACGCACAGTCATTTTTTTCCAAAATATAATATACTTATTCTCTGAAATATTCCGATTTCTTTCTGAAAAAACTGAAATGATTGTCTTGCTTTCACACAGAAATGACAAAATCGTTAATCTGGATTTGTTTTTTGTCTACCCTTTTTGTCAGTCTGGATGTCTATTAGTGATTCTTTTTTGACAGAAAGTTGGTGATAAAAAGTCCTGGAGTAATATATTTCGGTTACAGTCATTTCTATGTTAATTGTAACAATTTTCTAGGTAACTTGGATCCATGTGTCAGCAAAGAAGACATTTGCCACTTGTTTGGCCTTGAAGCCACTCCATACCTTAGATCTTCGTGCTGGGTGGAATTAGCCACAGATGCAAATGGAAAATCTAAAGGTTATGCCTTTGTTAGTGTTCCAGAGCACATTGCCCAACAACTAATACGATTCAGCGGTATTGACTTTTATGGAAAGGAACTGAAAATAGAGCCAGCTAGAGATAAAGATGAAAAGGAAACTGCAGATGAAGAGAAGCAAGACATTAAAAAGAAACCAAAGACAGAAGAAAAGCCAAAGAAAACAAATGGGGGTCCTAAACGAGGTGGAGGCAGAGGTGGTGGCAGAGGTGGAGGAAGACAGTATTATGGACGAGGGGACTTTCAAATGTATAATCACAATGGGTTTTACCGCCAGCCAAAATTTGGCTCAAGGCAGAAATACAATCTTCCTGTTCTAGCTCAAGATCAGATTTTTGCACTCATTGATTCGGGCGTCAATCTCACCAACAGAAGGTTGTTTTTGATCTACTGTTTTGACTACTTATGCTACACTTTGAAACAGCTCTTTCAATATAAGACCACTTTGTCTAAGATGAATCTCCTGGGACTAGTTGAATGCCTTCAATGATATCAACATTCAATTTATGCTCAGATTTTTCCTAGGAGCTTTTCTGGCTAGCATCTCTTTGTTTAGCTACATTTTGTCATGTGTTCTACTATTTGCCAACTGTTTTGTTCCTTGAGCCGGTATAAAACACTGATTTAATTTTAGCCATCTCTAGACACTTCCAAGAGAAAGCTCTTCCTTGTGGACATGTTTTTCATTAGTAGCAAAATGTAGAAAAAATCTGATTCTGCAGGAAAAATCGATTTTACAGAAACAAGCCTTTCTATCAGGCTGTTTAGCCAACTTCATTGGAAAACTTACATTTTTTCCTAACTTGGCTGCAAAATTTTTATTGCTTTGTTGAACTAAAAGTAGTGTTCTATGACAATTATTTTTATGTTAACAGATTTGCAGACAGTTTGGACTATGTAATCGCTAGAGCTTTGGCTGCAGGTGTCCAAAAAATGATTGTAACTGGAAATAAACTTAATGCCAGCAAGTCTGCTGTAGTCATGGCGAAAACTCGTCCCAACATACTCTTCGCATCCATTGGAATCCATCCACATTTTGTCAAGAATGATTTCAATGATCGAGCATTAGAGTCCCTGAAGGAACTTGTCAACTCACCAGAAGTTGTCTGTATCGGAGAGATTGGTCTTGATTTTAATCGTGATTATTCTCCAAGAGAAGACCAGAAGAAAGCTTTTGAGAAACAGGTGCGTTTTAGAGAAGAACAGAACATTTTTGTTCTCTCTTTTTCTTTCCTTTTTTGAGTTCATAAGATCTCTCAATTACAGCGACATTAGGCACAAAAATTTCAGGCATGACAAACTTTCCAAAAATATTTGTCCGAAAATTTATTTGTACATAATTTAGATTTGTCCATAAGTTTCTCACACCAAAAATGTTTGTCTAAACTGTGCATGCACAATGAAATTTGACTGAAGCATCATAAATCAAATGTTCCTTGAATCTGTTACAAACTTTAAACATAACTAGGTCTGCAAACTTTTTGAAAACAGTTGCTCTTCCAAATTCGTAGAAAGATAAGTCCATCAAATAACATTGATAATTCTCATCGTCTTTCATAAAATCACTGTCACTTTCTTCTTATCATTTAAAACAGGTTAGAAATGACCAGAGTTGATGACGCTATAGAATTTTAATCTCAGAAGGGGACTTCGCTTGAGAAGGTTGTTAGTTTCAATGCATGTATTCTCTATTCCTGCAGGTTTCTCAAGAGCTCAATTACAGTTTTAAAAATTTGTGTGAATTTATAAAACCTGATGTGGTTTTGCTTTAAACATCCAAAAGACTGGTCAACATTTGTCTGGAAATTTGTTTGTTAGAATTGCCAAAAATATGTCTAAAAATATTTTTGACCAAGTTTTTTGTCCCAAATTTTGTCTGCTCAAAATTTTTATACTTATTGTAAGTTCGGTTCTGTCATAATCACTAAATCTTGTGCACTGTTTTGAATCAAAAGTTTTGTTAACCTAAACCATTTCAGGAAAAATCACAGACGAACACCTTTGTATAGTTATGAATTCATTGCTCTCTTGAAGTTCTTAAGATGGTAAATTTGGTTAGAAAAAACAACAAAGCCTTCTCCAAACTATTACAGCTTCAACTATATCAAAATCTATTTAATTTGGTTTATACAGTTACTCATTAAGACATGCAGTTCACAAAATTGATTTAGTTGTGGCTGATATCAGTCGGTTTCATTCTAACTATTTAGTAATTTTTTGTAAGTAAATATCAAAGATTTTTTATTTTAAGCAAGCTAAGTGTACTTCATTGTAACATATATGATATGTAAAGCTGACAGAGAAACTGTCTTAATGTTCTACACAGGCCTTGTGAGGAGCAAAAGCAGGTGCTTGACAAACTGAGCACCTTTAATTTTATAGGCGCTTGATTGAGCATCATCGAGTATCAACAAAAACAAAATTTGGATTTTTGCATTTAATTTTTAGAGATTATAAACAAGCTAGGTGCTTGATCCATCAACCCCCTTTAACTCTCTAGATGCGTGTGGAGGTGCTTGATCAAGTTTAGCGGCTCTTCTTGCAAGGCCTGGTTCTACAGATCCTTAAGTGTATTTATAAATAACATATGATAGCAAAAAATAATGCTTAGAGAATATGAATCATTGCAACACCAAAATATGATTATTTTGTCTCAAGTGAGTGAAACTTTCCATCAAATTATAAAGAAACTTTTCTTTAGAAGGTAGCTTTGGGATCAGAAAAGTTACGTAAGATATCAACAGCGTTCATTAGGCCTCAACTGCACATGACAAACAGCCAACAAACCCAAGAGGTGTTTTACAGTAATATATGGCTTTCACTGGCAGGTGTAACCACCTCATTTGTTTCCTAGACTTTAAGTTACCCTTGTATAAGTCTGTAGAACCTCTTAACTTGGTTGTCCTCTTTATACATTTGTATTCTACCTTGTGAGTGTACCAATAACATAGAAAGGACATCATAAAATTCAGATTAATATAGTCATGTATGTTGATCGTATTTTCAGCTCGAGTTAGCATGCCAGGCCAACAAACCAATCCTTGCTCATGATCGTGATGCTCATGATTCATTGATTGAAATCTTTGACAAATACAAGGAACAGCTGCCAACCGTTGTCATCCACTGCTTTACAGGAACGGCTGCAGAGATCCGTGCTTATGTTGCCCGAGGATTTTACATTGGCATAACTGGCTTTGTTTGCAAAGGTGATAGTGATGGATTTTTACATAGTCTTAAGTACAATATGTTATGATTCTTAAGTTCAAGTAACAATTTCTGTTATTGTCTTTGAGAAATGTGCATCATTTTATTGAGCAAGATGCCAGTTTTTGTAAGGATTGGATAGTTACACAGTATGTTGTTGTATATTGGCGAACATTAATACTCACAATATTTTATATTACAGAAAAGTTTGGTAAAGATCTCCGAGATGCTATTTCAAATGGAGTCTGCCCTCTGGACAAGATTGTCATTCAAAGTGATGCTCCGTACATGATTCCTAATTTAGCACAAGCCGATTTAGACCCAGTGAGTGATGCACTGCTTGAATTCTGTTGTGAAGGATACAATGAACCCTGCTCATTACCAGTGATTGTTCGATGCATCGCAAAATGCCTCAAGAAAGATTGCAAAGAGGTTGCTGAAGTCACATCTGCCACAGCAAAGACCATTTTTAATTTTCCTTAATGCGTGGACACGAGCAAGTACTGACAAAGAGTTGCATAGGGCTATCATTTGTACATAATCAAAGTTGGGAACTTTCAGAGAATATCTTCAAAATGCCTCCCATCTTGTGACAAGTTGCATAGTTATTTAAGTTAGCTGTGTAACCAAAAGCTTTTCAATTTAAAAGTTTATAATTCAGAAATTATTAACCAAGATTTTTAGTTATCAGTTTTGAAATGCTGATGTGTTTGGCATCATTCAAAATATTACATTTTCAAAACAGTAGGATATAGTTGTTGAAAGCATAACAATTACTTTATTGCCAAAAAGTTGCCAAAAAAATAAAGAGTTCGTTGATTTGTGTTTTGTTTCATGAACATAGTATTTTCTATAGTTCAAAAAATTTTGTGTTCTTAAGATTTTCCAAGAGCAGGTTAAGGTGGACATGAAATTATCTGTAAAAACGACTAGATCTGCAGAAGGAATAGCTGTCAATTATAACTTGTTGTTTTGTTTCTTTCTCTGTCTATGTTCTACTTTTTAAGCCATTGTGTAATGATATGGCCTAAAATAGGCATTTGGGAATGTTAGCAGACTTCAATCAAAAACTTTATAGCATATACCCAATACAAGGCAAAAAATATCGTTTGATGGTAAAAAATAATCTTAGGTTGGAGTCTTGGATTAACTCTTTAAATGCGATGTTGGGTATATTTCATTTCCTGTGCAGTCATTAAGTACAGTTTGTTTTCAAACTCACTGGCAGAAATGGACTGTTTTTAAAGTTAGTATTAAACGTTGCAATTTTTCTTTCGACTTGCTTGTCACAGAAAGCATTTGTGTGCTTGTATGGGAAGCTTTTCTGTAAATTATTTCATAAAAATTAGGATTACAAAAAATAAGCACGAAAAATAATATATGCTACAGAAGCATCAAGAAGGAATTCCATCTGTGTTTTTTCTACCAGACCACTACAATTTTGTTGTAAGCAATCAATGCTGCCTCTTCTTAAGCTTTTGTGAATTGGTTAAAAGGGCTTATTAGCAAGCAATTCAAGTACTCGAGTAAAAACTTTGTTATGAAGAAACTTTTGTGTTTATTTTGATATGCATCTATAGAAAATAAGAAATAATATCACTTTCATATAGCCACTTTCTATGATAACTTAGATATCATGTTTAAATATCATACAGTGCAAACCAACGATAGTTAAATGTAACACACGGAACTAATTTAATAATACACGACACACTACGAAATTAATGAAATAACTTTCATATATGCGCCATAAAAATATTGCACCTTTTTCAAATCATCTATTCGAAAAGGAAGAGCTTTTCCGTTATTATTTTTACTGCTCAAAGGGTGTCCGTCAAGATTGTCTTCTAGTTCCTATTCTTTTCAACTGTTGATGATTCATTAATACTGGTACTTCGTAGTTAGATCAGTTTCGACATGCACCCAGAAAATAAAATCTGCCTGAATTTTTAACTGAACATTGCAAATTCTGGAATCTATGCATTAACAGGTCTATACATAATTTATGACTGTTTACAAAAACGCCAAAAATACAACCAAATGTCATTCAGACGATAGAAGGACCAGGACAACACACTGAACTAATTTAATAATACATGACACATACTACGAAATAAATGAAATAACTTTCATAATTGCGCCATGAAACTATTGCATCTTTTTCAAATCATCTATTCGAAAAGGAAGAGCTTTTCCGTTATTATTTTTACTGTTCAAAGGGTGTCCGTCAAGATTGTCTTCTAGTTCCTATTCTTTTCAACTGTTGATGATTCATTAATACTGGTACTTCGTAATTAGATCAGTTTCGACATGCACCCAGAAAATAAAATCTGCCTGAATTTTTAACTGAACATTGCAAATTCTGGAATCTATGCATTAACAAGTCTATACATAATTTATGACTGTTTACAAAAATGCCAAAAATACAACCAAATGTCATTCAGACGATAGAAGGACCAGGACAACACACTGAACTAATTTAATAATACATGACAAATACTACGAAATAAATGAAATAACTTTCATTATTGCGCCATGAAACTATTGCATCTTTTTCAAATCATCTATTCGAAAAGGAAGAGCTTTTCCGTTATTATTTTTACTGTTCAAAGGGTGTCCGTCAAGATTGTCTTCTAGTTACTATTCTTTTCAACTGTTGATGATTCATTAATACTGGTACTTCGTAGTTAGATCAGTTTTGACATGCACCCAGAAAATAAAATCTGCCTGAATTTTTAACTGAACATTGCAAATTCTGGAATCTATGCATTAACAAGTCTATACATAATTTATGACTGTTTACAAAAACGCCAAAAATACAACCAAATGTCATTCAGACGATGGAAGTCAATTGAAAATGTGTATGAATTGGTACATTTACAGAGCTTTCAAAGAGATTATTCGCTTGAAATCCTCTCGATTTTTCTAGTTATTTTTACTATGTGTAAAATTATTGTTAATTTAACTTCATTTTCCAACTCGGGACAGAAGTTACAATGCAAGTTTTAGGATAAAAATGCACCCTCATAAAAACATGCCACATCATCGAGAGCATGTTGGGCTGCTAGTTCATCGGTGCAAATCACTCAACCCACCATAAACCTCTAACAAGAGTAGGTTGCCAAGGAAATTTACACAAGGACCCAAAACATTAATGATACTGGGTAGGAAATGGGCAAGAAAAGTACCTTTTCTCCTTAATAAGTCGATCACCTAAAAGCATCAATGCGCCAATTGCATAATCGATACACAGTCGTGAGAAGTTTCCACAATCCTAGAAAAGTGACTAACACTGTTAGGGTTTTACCGAAAAAGCAAATTTTCGTAAAAGGAAAGAGAGGGTTTGTGGGTTGGGACAAAGCGTACAGCTCTCTTGCAATAATTCTCAATAGGGCCGGCGAAACCTATTTGAAAGTGGGGGGGGGGGCAAATATCAAAGTCTTGAAAGGGCTTAGGAAAGGCCGCCACCATGATTGGCGGCAAGAAAAATTTTGGAATTATGGTGTCTTATGGATGGCCAGAAACTGTATCTAAAATGAATTTTGATTGAAGGTGTCGCATAGTCGCGTCTATTGTGATGTTGACTTGAAATAGAAAAGTTTTGCGAAGTTTTAGAATAACCACTAACATATAGCTCGTAATGAAACCTTTTTGTTAGATTTTCAAAGTACCCGAAATAAAATGGGGGAGAAAAATAAATGAAACATGTATTAATAAAAAACACTAACGTTGAAATATCAACAGAAGAACTATCAACTAAAAATAAAAAGTTAAGCAATTTTGTACAGTTAAGTTATAACTTTGTAACATCTGATCTTAACTTTTTCGGAAATTAAATGCTTTAACAAAAATTTGAAAAACTTTCAAACTGGGCTTGCCAAAATGAGTTTAAATGGAATTTATAATTGCGTCGATATTTTCTCCAAACAATCAAACTCTAAAGTTTTCTTGATGATACTTTTTAAGAACAAATCTGCTCTTACTTTATTCCTCATATCCTCAAAAAAGTTCTTTCCATCTGTGTCTTTTTCTTCAACAGCTGATTTTTCTCTTTTTGTAATGTTTCTAAGAAAGCTTCGCTAACAAATAGGCCTTATGTGCCAAGTTTAGGCAATGGAAAAAACGCGAGACCCACGCTATGGCGCGCCCATAAATACCCGAAAATCTACCAAAGAATAAACATGCTATGAAACCACACACCTTACTCTTGAATGATTAACGAAAAGCGGGAATACGTATAGCGCGTATAGCGGGAATAGGTAAAAGGCGAAGAAGTACGGCTGAAGAGACTATCACGAATAGCAAATAATGATAATTTAGGCGAATAAATTAAATGGCGAGCGCCTCTTGTGAATTTAACTCTGATTTCAATTATTCACCGTAAGCATCATTGGAGCAAATTCTTTTTCGTGTATTGCTGCTAATGGGTGGCATCCAGCGTGGTATTGCTTCACGTTCACTTGCATTCTCATTCTGTATTCCCAATTGCATTGGGAAGCACTACAGCACACGCACCGAAATTTCACACGTGAAGGAATTTACCACGAATGGTTGATTATGATTTCATGAAGCTCATAAACAGCGTTTAGAAAGAGTTTGAACACCACACGCACTAAAGTCGAGGTGAATGTTTGAGGAACACAAATTTACTAAACAACTTGAGGTATCGTACTTTTGGTTTATTTACGCTCATCTCGCTGCAGTCTTAAATATCTTGCTTTTAATGTGATGTTAATTGTTAAGTGTATGGCTGTCTGTTGCCGAGAGAAAACCTTGTGCCTGTGCCATAACTCAAAATTGAGCTGGTTTACGAAATAGAGAGGATTTTTGGCTTTAACAATTCCTAGAAGCACAAACTGTTTCTAAGAATTACTAATATGTAACAGTTTCTAAGAAGTAATTTTTTCCTTTGTCATTAAGCCACAGGTTTAGCGAAAACCATACCACCCTTGACCCCTTTAGTAAAGTTTTGAAGGGGATTAGTAGGGGCAGTCATAGAAACAGCTATGGGCATGATTCTCATATTCAATACAATCGTTACTGTTATGTCTTACACGGTGGCGGCGTCAGCTACAGCTACTGCGAGTGAATTTGTAGTGCCAGTCAGACCAAAGGTTGCCATTTGGCTGTTTTGACGACCAAATTTCCTCTATTTTGGGGTCTTTTAAAAACGCGTTGCCATCAAAAATTGATTTGGCCGAAGTAGCAAAAAAAGGCCGAAATTTGGCCACATGTTGAAAACCTCGGAAAAACAAAGGAAACGACAATTTTGGCATAGATGATATTCAACATTTTATTAAAATAATCTAAAAATTGCAAATGACTCTGAAAATAAAACTAAATTCTTGTCGCTTCTGGCCATTTAGAGGAATCTGAACCATTTAGAGGAATAAGACTTTTCTGAGCCAATAGTCTTACTTGTTATCAAAACATAATCAATCTGAAAATTATTCCTTTTTAAAAATACGACTTCTTTCAAGAAATAAAATATTCTCTTTTTTCTGATGTAGAATAAAACTAACCTTTTTTAGAATAAAAACTTTCGAAAAAATTTGACCAGGCTTCTAAGCCAATTTAAGTACAGGGGTGGCGCCAAGATATTCAAAGTGAGGGGGCTCGAGTTGCATTATTAGACTAAAAAACCAACTTTTGAAAAACGCACTAAAATGTTACACGATATTTTATTCCTATGATTTTATGGGGGCATTCGTTCTGCTAGCGGTACATTGGCAGGCTGGCGAGAGGTTGTCGGAGGCCTTAGGTACATCTAAAGAGGAGGCTTCCTTGCAAACGAAGGGAGCAGAGAATTTTTGCGACCACGCCCTTTTGACTAGCTTAAAGGTAATGTATCCATATAAAAGGACTGCGTATACCCAACTTGTCAAGCCACCCATCAAAATAACGGTTTGCGATTGGTTAGTATTCTCGCAATGCTAAACTGCTCACATGAAAAGCTAACCTCGCAACAGTATAGATAAACAAAACGACTGTAATGGATGGGGCGATGCCGATGGCATGAAAAATCACATGTTTCTAAAAACCCCCACAGAGTCGCTTGCTTTAGCTGGACACATTACCTTTAAAATACATTCCAGAATATTTCTTGCAGTCATTCTTTTTGCAAATTTGTTGCTATTTTCAAGGCATGGTTTTTTACGTTTGATTAATTCCAGTCTTAAAATGGAATTCGTTACTTCATGGGGCATCATGGACCCTGGCTCATTCCTTTGAAATCAAACAATACTGTAAAAGGAATTATCACACTATTTTTTCATCTATTAATATTATTTATATTCTTTTAAAAACACTTTTTTGCTAAAAAGTGGCAAAGCCCCCCAGCCCCCAATCTGGCGCCGCTCATGTTGCAATATTCTTTCATCAAAGATTGACCTATTTAAAACGACGTTCATTTTTGCCTTTCATTGTACTTTCATTACAGAATTAAATTATATTCTCATTTGCTTTCATCATATAGGGTAAATTTAACGTTTTAGGACAAAAAAATTGTAGAACAAAAAAATATTGTATAAAATGTTGACGATCTTATCCTTTTTTCAAACCTTGATCAATCTAGAAGTACGTAAATATTTTACAAAAAGTCTTTCATTCTAGAACCAAGTTAATTTTTTCCTTATTCTCTTGATATGGAGGCAATTTACACTGATTTTGAAAAAAAGTTCTCGGAAAATTTTGACGATTTCCCAAAACCTATTTTTAGCATTGCATATAAAAAAATATCAACCGATCTAGAAATTGGTTAATTTTCTCAAAAATTGCATCTTTTTTTAACTAAAACTAAAAATTAAAACAATACAATAAAATTTATATACCTAATGTGTAAATCTCAGTGAGCAAACAAAATGTTCAAACCTCTGCCAAACTATCAATCGATATTCCATAGACCATCCAAAAATTGATGATTTAGAACAGCTGCTGGTGTAAATTTATGTAATACACAACATATTCTAACCCATCAAGCACTGAAGCCCTTGGTCCAAAGGTTTTGTCAAAAAATGTTTTGTCTCAATCTTATTCATATTAGACAGTGCCCATTAGCGAATCCCATCAACAAACAGGAAAGGCAATTTTACCAATAGGGAAAGCCAAATATAAACTTTATCTTCCAGAAAGGGAATTTCAAAATCATAGAACCACATTACAAAGAATAGGTTGAAAAAAATATTATCCCTCCCCAATTTTCACCTTGAATTTTAATGATATACAGAATCTATCCTGCCAAGAACTTAGGAGAACTGGGGGCATAGCCCACATATATTTGATTGCAAAAGTATCTTAGGGTCAACATTTTTTGTCACCAAATTCAATACAACTGTCATTTTAAAAACTCGCTACTAAAAAATGGGTTTCTTCCAAATTTAGAGCAAACAATTTTCTGGAGATTTGAAAGTAAAAGGCAAAAAATATGGTGCAAAGTTTCCTCTTATATTCTACACAGCAACTGTGGGAAAGTCAACTAGCAGATAAAAGCAAAGAAAAAAAGCAAGGAGATTTCATTGATTACTACTTGTATGATTTCAGTTATGAGCATTGGGTTGTCAAAGCTAATTCTATGTTTCGTTACATAACTTAAAAGAATATGGTAGCATTACACACTATTAATAAAAAAATAGGAAACTTTCCAACAAACTTTATAGCTGCAACTCTGAATTTATAATCAGATGAAAATAAAAAAAATAGTTATTTTATAGATATGATAACATAACATGATTTGTCACTTTTAACATAAAATTAATTTATACAAACCACAAATGGGTAAAAACTAATGGTATGTTATTGAAGACCTGCCTAAAATAATTATGTAATATCTCGCAGTTGTCATATAACAATGTCTAGGTATTAGATACTAGTCTTTGTTATCACAACTCTGCAAAATGCAAAATAAAGGAAGCTTCAATCACCTTTTAAAAAAAAATATGTTCACTGAAAGGCTGCAAAGAAACCCTCTGGTATACCAGAGAAGAACTTTTACCTTAGCAACATCATAAATCATAAATCCTTCTCTTATTATCTACAAGGGTGATATATAGGAAAAGCTTACATAAAAAGATTTGTTAAGCAATCATCACATATTCTAACAACCAAATCAAGATCAGGTATATACAGTGTCTAAAAGGGCTGATTAATAAGTATGGATAATATTATATTCCATAATATATTTAAGCAGCCAATATATGGATAAAAATGTTGAAGAACTTATTCACTTTCTATGTTTTGACATAAACACTCAAATATTTGGATCAATCTTTTAAGACCATACATGTAGTTTGTATCCAGTGACTGCGTTTCATTTAAGTCAATATATGTGTGAGGGAAATCAATCATTCTAACAACAACATCATCCTGAGAGAAATGTGTCAAGGTTGTATTTTTTGCATCTGGATACTGGACTCTCTGCCCATCAAATGCTATCAATATGGAGCTACTGAATAACTTCACTCGATTTTGGTATGAAAACCATTCTTCCAATTTCTTCAGTTTCTCAATGATTCCCCTCAAAATATATAGTCTTGCTGGTACATTCTTTATATCCAGGACAAAGGCAATATCTGTACAATTAAAATCATTCATTAAGTTTAGTAAATTAGAACCCCCTCACATCAGAAATTTCAGATCAACCTGAAACTCAGATCGACCTGAAGTTCATTTCAGTCTGCAGTCTGAGCCCTTGAGGTGCTCTCATGAGAGAGGGGGAAATGAAACTAAAGTCGACCTGTGTTTATCTCGGTTGTTCAGGTCGGTCTGAAATTTCAGGTTGACTTTAAATTTGCATGTGTGCAGAAAAGAATTTTCAAATCTGGGCGAAATGAGACACATAGAGAAAAATGAATTGCTCTCTGGGATGCATGCTTGATGATTTTGGTGCCATTTTACCATTTAATTGATTTTAACACTCTCTGTATCTGCACCAAAGCACAACTTTTTTCTTCTTCAGCGAGAGTGATTGATTTTTTGAAGAAGATCGCTTAATCGAGACATAAGTTGAGGAAGCAAAACCAAAATTGATTTCAGTACTGATATAAAACCATGTTTGTTTTGGACTGAATTTGCAATAAATGAAAATGTGTGAAAGCCTGTTGAATTTCAAGCGGGTTTGAAAATGTTCATGTGAGCGGGAGTCAAATTAGCATGCACCATCATATTTCGAGCCGATCTGGATTTCAGACCGGCCTGAAATTTTTCACATGAGGGGGTCTTAAACTGATAATTTATTTCAAGGAGCCTGTATCTTTCATTGCTGCAAAGCTGCAAGTCTGACATTGCTCTGTAATTGTCCTCTTTTTCTTATTAATAGAGGAGTTTTTATTAATGCAGGCTATATCCTATCACACCTAGATTAGAGAAATGGGAATGCTTTTGTTCTAGCTTTTAATTGAATATTATTTAATTGAATATTATTTAATTTAATTGAATTTAATTGATTTATATAAAAACAAAAACTTGACCCAGCTTAAACACAAAAGGCTAAGCTTTCATTTTCGTGGCCTTTTACACTAGACCTAAAATGCCAAAAACCTGGATGAGTTTTCATGCCGGTGTGATATGCGTTTAGGTAACCTCATTCATTTCGGTCCGGGTACTCATTTCGACCTGGCAATTTTGGTTATGCAAAATCGTACCCAAACGAATGGTGGGATAGAGCATGCAAAGTTGCTGGGTACACATGTCCCTTTTTCATGCTAGCATGAAAGTGCCATGTAAACAGACCAGTTTTTCATGTCAGGGGAAATCAATGTAAAACTTCATACTAATAATCCAAAAGTCTTTCACGTGAAAAGCATTTGACAGTTTCATTTTAGGTCTCATGTAACAGACAGCAAATTTCACAAAATTTTCATGCTCATGCCAACATGACTTCATTTTGTGTCTCATATAAAGGGGCCCCTTAGCACAGACCTTGAAAAGCAAAGACCTAGCTAGCAAAAAATCTCCAAAAAGAGGGTTGTTTTATCATCAGTTAATATGCCTACTCATCATCTCAAATTATCTGAACACTTTAGACTGACATCATAATCAGTTGAAGCAAAACTTTTTCTTTCTACCTATTTCAGATCCAATTCATTGGATATTAGAAACCTAAGATTAATTCCCTGAACTTTGAACTTTTATCATGGGCAGTTAAATCTTACATTACAAACTTTTAAAAAAACAACATTTAAATGCTTAAAAAGTTTAGAAAGAAAATTTCTAGCTGAGTGAAAGAAACTTACGCTTTGGTATATCATCTGGTGTGAATTTTTTGCAAGTTGTTTTATCATGAAAGTCTGTTCTGCCAGTTTGAGTTCTGTATGACTGAAATTCAAGTCAAACAAAATCAAAGTACAACTCAGTCAACACAATTGCAAACAAAAACAACTATATATTGAACAATTCACTTCTTGAAAAGTGTTGGGCTCAAAAAAAACATTAGCAGATCATACCTTGGATCCAAGCATCCTAAATCCTAATTCCTTTTGGTATTTATACTTCATTGCTTCTCTCTGTATTTTGGCACTGTCTGCAAATGGATCTGAGGTCTGTTTTCCTATCTTGATATCCATTATGGAAGGTTTTGAGAATCCAGCAAGAAGGTTTTCAAGTTTGATGTAACAAACTAAAATTTGTTAAAGAAACATAGTTTGTGTGGCTAGTAAAAGAAAAAGTTAATTCAAAATTCATAAGGAAACTAAAAGACCCAAATTCAAATAAATTAAGGACTGCTTTGTCATGTGAAAGCTTGACATCCAGGACAATATCCAGGATTAAGGCAAAAGAAAAATAATATTTAAAAGGGAAAACATGATAAAAAGGGGAAAGCATAAGGAATAAGGTATTTGCATTTGCATTTTATACTACTTAGCTTCTTAAGGTAGTTTTCATGATACTGAGGAGCTGGGCTTATAAAAACTGTCTTGCTCCTTCCTTTTGATGTGAAACAATCCCTGTCATTTCTATGCATGAAATTACAGGTAGCATGTGAAATTACAGACACCCTAGACCATTGGATCTGTAATCTGCGCCCTCTTAGGTTTGGCTACTGTCAAAACTCCTGTCCTGAAAATTCTAATGTTTTGTCTCTGTTTTGTCTCTCCTGTTCTGAATATTTTAGTTTTTTGAACTTTTTTGTTGTCTAATGGTCATTCATTTTTATTATTCAGTGAAATTTAAAATTGAACATATAAATAACAATTATAATCAATAATTTGTTTACAGTTGGTGTACTAGATGAAAGTCTAATAGCTATAAAGAAGTTAATTAAGATCAACTGTCTAGAAAAATGGCATAAAATGAATATATGGTGAAATGTTGAAAAAATGTTTAAGGTGTAACATTCTAAACAAAACCTAACCCAGCAATGAGTATTTTACATAATCTACAGTCAAATTCTACAGGGTGTACTCTTAATTCTTTTTTAAATGATGCTAATGATTGGGACTCTCTTATACTCTGAGGTAGTGTTTGCCACAGCTTTTAACCTAAATATCTCACAGTTTGTATACCGTAAGAAGTTGTCCTGGCTTCTGGAATGCCAAGAGTATTTTTATATCACAAATCATAATGTACATATCTTGCTTCAAAAATTTCACTCATGAAACTAGGGTTCAGGTTTTGTTTGGTTTTGTATATTTCTATCATCAAGTACTGTAGATAGTGTTGGTAAATTGATACTACATTATCCAATGTCAGCAATGTTTCTATGTTGGCATGATTGTATTTATAAACAATTCTGAGTGCTCTTTCATTGTTTTTTCCACTTTAGCGTGAACATAACAAAGGGATGATAAAAACTAATTGGTACTAGAAGCCTGAAAAATATACTTTTTGCTTAAAATATACTTATCTATATTCATAGATAGCAAAAGGATACATTTTTCTCCATTTACATTAATTTGCTGAATACCATAATACTTTGGGAGAAAATTTTGAAGTTCCTTCAGTTCTGGCTCATCATCTTCAGCATTGAAGATTCTTTCAAAGAAAGCTGTCTCTACAATTCCTGTAGATCTTGTAAAATCAACCATTTTTAACACATGACCATCTTTGTCCATCAGGAAACCTAAAATTAAACAAATAATGGACTTTTAATGATATTTCTCACTACAAAGGTATTTTTGCAAAAATGTTTTAAAGCAAAGCAGTTTTGAACATTGTAAGAAGTTCTTGAGCATGAACATAAGGAGGCTATATGATCACAAAAATGCTAAGATTGCTTGGATCAGAAAGATTCAAATGATTTATGCAATGATATTTTTTCTATGATAACAATTTTGCAATGAAAGGAATTTTCTATTGCTGGTAATCACAATTCACTACAATCAAAATAAATTTTGCATTAAATGAATAGGGAAGCTGAATATAAAGGAAATAATAAATGGAGAATACATGGTTTGCTCTGCAGTTCAAGATGACCTGCAACTTGGTTTTGAAAAGTCTTGAAGCCAGTGATTGGTTGTGGGATTGATGCACTTGCAGTTAAAGCTGTTGCCTTCCAGGTTTTCACAACTGCCATGTCTTCCCTAAATAGGTTAGAAGATATTTGTTGTTATATACAACTAGAGCTATCTAACAAAATGATTGCAAAATATATGAGGTGCTTTGTGGAAGCAGTCTAAAGGTGTCATCATCTGAGTGAGAACTTGCTATCACGGTGGTATAACCAAAAGCTCTGTCATTAGAGGGTGAAAATGATGTATGAACAAAGGAAGATATCTGAAGAAACACTAAGGGAAATTTTTCGGGCAGTTCCCTTCAAAATGCTTATCAATGCACTTTTCAGGAAGCATCTCTTAAGACATTATTAGCAAAATAGCAAGTTTTAAAAATTGCAACCTTCTTAGTCAAAGAGTTGAGGAAAACTATATTTTGGAGGAGTTAAATGTTTTTTGATTTTCCCAGAAAACAGAACATTGTCTCTATTGACTACTGGCTACCTTAATTACATTTTATTCAAGTAGGTTTCTAGAGAAAAATCTAGGCTTTCAGGCAAATATTATAAAGACTAAATTGTTTTCATTCCTACATCAATGTAATCAAGGAAAGAGAGACAAAACATTGTGGCAGCTGTGGCAAACCAGTTCTTGGAAAGTGGAAATCTGAGGTGTGAGGGCTCTTCAGTGGTGGGAATTGCAGAGGTGTGGGGGCAAGTGCCCCCCAGACTTTGCTAAATTGTTGGTTAAGAAACGCTTTTGTCTGTAAATTATGTCATTTGTAGGCAAATTCACTTGTTTTTGTGGACATTGCTATCCCACCTGAAAAATGAATTTTCGCCACCGGGGCCCTTGGTAAATTAGGTACAGCTATGTCCTATTTCTATTGTTTATTAGCGTATATCCGGCGTGAGCTTAACACGGATTCCACTCTGGCGGTTGACTGATTTGTTTTTGTTTGCGATCCCTTGGGTAAAACAATAATTTCTTATCCGCTGATACGTGCAAACATGCATGCCTCTCCATCCTTCAGTCCTGTATGCTACAAAGTGTTGAGAATTCTTGCAAATCAATCCTAGTCGAACAAACTGTTGAACAAAGTAAATGCATATCTGGCGTAAATGAACTGCCCGTAAACTATGTCCAGTCCAGCCTTAACTTCGTCCAGTCCAGCCTTCCTGGTTTGAGTTCGTTCTAGTGTCGTCACGTCTCTTCACCAATGCACTTCAAATCAATATTCTCATTCAAAATACAATGATATTAAAAATTTGTGTCTCACCCTTTGACATAAGTTACTCTTATATCTGTCTTTGGAAAACCAGAAAGGGCTAACAAGGCTGAAAATCAAACAGATTTTCTTGTGCTTCCTGGCGGACATGTCTTTTCGACATTTTGATCGCCTGTGGTTGTTGCGCTGCGTTGTCTGTCCTTTTCATCTTTGTTTTATGACGTCACTATGTACGTCGCTTTGCCACATGTTGGTTTGGTTGGAAGTTCAGGTACCACATGCTTTGGCGGAGGATAATGCTTTTCTGTACATATACACGTATTTCTTTGATAAGAAGCTAGTTCACAATGTCGTCGGAACGAAATTCATAATTGGGGACTGCCTATTCAGAATAGGCTATTCTATTGTACTGCTTCCCGTTCAAGTATAAGTGAGACCCCGTTTACACTGTCCCGTGCAAGTTTGGAACCGTGACAAAACTGTCGCGGTTCGCCCTTCCGTTTACACTAGCACTGTGGAACCGTGACGATTTTGCTCTGCTATCCGGAACAGTTTGGACCCTGCTTTGAAAGCGAACGAATTTTGTACCGTCACGGTTCCGTTTTTGAACGGGACAGTGTAAACACCTATCCGAGACGATTTTGTCACGGATTCACAAAGAGGTCTTTTGTATGGCTGTTTAAGGTAATCGAGGCTTTCATGGTGGCGTAACTACGTTGTCAAATTCTGAAGAAAAGGAAATTCTGAAGAAAAGACGACAACAGAAAAGGCTTGTTTTGTTTCCCAGTCCAAGCCTTGATTGGACTTTGCAGCTTTGTAGCCTAAAATAACACTGAAAATTAAAGCCACCTCGTCGTTCGTCCAAGTAAATTACCATTAAATCAAGGTCGTGCCGGTACAGTGTGAACGGAACGGCTAAACGGAACAATTTGGAACCGCGACAGTGTAAACACTTGCAAACCGTAACGGTACAAAATTGTCCCGGGAAAGTGTAAACTTGGTCATTTCGACAGTTTTTTTGGGGAGGGGGGGGGGGGGCACCAGCTCCATGCCCATGCTTAAGGCGGCCTTGGTTTGAAAGCACCCAACCCTTAAAGGGAAGCTTAATTTGGGCTTATACTAAAAACGTCCATAGGTTTTAGTGATGTAATCACTACAGTAAGTGGATGGAAGTGAAAATAATAACAATTTGCGTTATGTATTGTATGAGGCAGGTTCCCCTTAGGTTGCTATTGCTTGTATTCAGGGCCTTTTTTAACATACTAACTGCGGGGCAACTGCAGTCGAAAACTAAAATTTGAAGGAAACTAGGGGATCAAAACTAAATGTAATGTATATTGGCATTCTTAAGTGTAGGATTCAAATTTTTAGAAAATTAGTCAGACAGCAAAATTTGGATGTGTTTTTGGTTTGTATGTTTTGTCTCCATTCCACTCATCTTCGAACAGTTCAGCTTCAAAGAGATTTTTAGCATAGTGATTTTTTTGGCTACCTTCCCTATTAGAGTGTCTGTTTTAATTGAATAATCCAGGCATATCAGGGGATCAAGTGAAAGGAACTTTGATACTTTTGCTGGTTTCAGATCAAACAAGACTATTCAAAGAGGATTTTATACATGCTTAGAACGTGACTCGTTCAAAAGTGTCTGTGGTGTCTGTCGCATCATCTGACAGTATGACCGTTGAAAGTGTCTCTGCATACAACATTTTATATTCATAATCAAGGGAATCAACACTAAGAAGTAAACAGTTCAATGGCGTCCCAACATCAAAGTTTGACACATGGCCAGCTATAACAAGATTTTTCAGAAAAAAAGATCGTCTAGAATCAAGGCCAACTATAGAAACTCACAAAAATAGATAATTGTTTCTAGGTTTTTTAATGGATTTATTGGGACTTTGATAAAACATATATTTTCACTTTTGCATAATATTATAACTTCAAATGTCAACTCAAAGCTATTTCATCTCATTTGAAATATGAAATTAATATCTTTGAAGTATGGGATCATAAAAAGTTTCCTATAAAGTACCCTTATTCTCCCATTTTTGCTTGTTTATCTGGTCCCTTTCAAATTCCCCCCCCCCCTACTTAAAATTTCTTAAGAAAGACACTGCTTGTATTGTTCTATTTAATTTAGGTTGATAAGTAGGCTCCTCTAATTTTGTAAAGTTGCTACTGATGAAGCGAAAACGAAACGTCTTATACTATAATCTTCAGGTACAAATTGCTACACATTTCTTCTATGATGACAAATCACGAGAGAATGTGACAGTGTAAAGCGCGTTAAAGGTTGCTTTAAGTTGCTCATAGTTGCTGGTTGCAGGCCTTTCTTATTCCTTCTTCCGGGGTTTCGATTCGATCGTTGATCAATTTGCTCAGCCTTTCAGGGACTGATTTAAGGGGCAAGGATGGGGGATGCGAGATAATAATTGGATTTTAGTGTCATACCCTTAAGATAATTGGAAAATGATTGAAGCTCCCATTTTTGAAATTTGGTTTGTAACTTTAAGATAAAGAAGATAAAAAGATTAATAAAGTAAAATCTTGGCCTTATTTGATTATTACTAACTATCAAAACATGAATTTCACCGAATGAAAGCAAAATTTGTCGAGGGACTTCATAAAGTAATGAATTCCATTTCAAGAATGGATTTTATAAAAAACAACAAAAGTATGCCCAAAAATTTAGAAGGCTGTTAAGGATTGCAAGAAAATGACTGCAAGAAATATTCTGAAATTCATTTTAAGCTAATCTTTATTAGTTGATTGTCCAAATGTTCTCTATTCGCTTCACTCGCAAAAGCATCGTCTTTCAATTTTTCGCCAGGTCTCCGAAACTTTGGAAAATTTACATAAGAATCATAAAAAAAATCCTCGAATAAGTCCCCACCCTTTAATAAGCCCCCATGGGGTATTAATCGATTTGAACAAAAAACTTCATATTCGTTACTTCTCAAAGTTATCACTTTACTCATTGATCAATTTCACACGATACATCTGTTTTATTTTTTTCAAATTCCTTCACATTTTGTATCTAAATTCTTACATTTATTCATCTATTCGAGTAGTTTTTCGACGAGAGTAGTGGCCATCGTGTTGTAATTTGTTACTGCTAGATGTTTCAGGGGCTCATTCGAGGACTTAAAGTAAAGTATGATTTTACGCGACATATAAATGTTCAGCGATTGATGAATTGTTTCTTACGTAGGTCAGGCGTAACGAGCGAAAAAAAAGGAAGGATGTCAGAAGACGCGAATTTGGTGTTTGTGGTTTTGGTTGCTTGAGTCCCAGTGAGAGCATTTTCAGCCCATTACAAAAAGGGCATCATAGTGTGCTTTCCTACTGTACAGTTCAAAGTAAAGAATATTAGGCAGTTTTATAACGTCACCACTCGACTTTACCTAAAGAGCTAAGGAATATTTTGCTTGAAATGTGACTGGCATTATATTTTCTTAAACTATCGATATCTTGCGGTGGGATGGAGGATGAAAGTGGTAATATCCAGAAAAACGATAAACAATATAGAAACAAGAATCGAGTCTTTTGGCATTCCAATTAATTTTGGCATGCATTATAGTTGCCTTTGCAGGAGAGGCATGAGCAGATTATTTTCAATTTTAGAAAATCAAAAGTCCTAAAAAGAAATTTTCAAGACATACAAAAGATGGTGTACCTTGCGTACTGTAAACTTATATTCAAACAAGATGCAGTTGAAAAAACGCTGTTTTTCTTTCAGGAAACAGAGAGCTGTCATAGTTGGATAAGGTAAGTCAGAATTTTTAATATAAGCAGTTTTCAACACCTGGCGAGAACTATGCAAAAGACTTTCAAAGATTCTGGAGTAAAAGACAAAAATGCGTCTCGTGCATACGTAGAATGAAAACAATAGCAGACCGATGCAAAAACACAACAGATTCATGAGACGGCTTTCTCCTCTTAACATCAAATAAAACCTACAGACGAGATACCAAGGCTAGTCTGAAGCTTTGAAGAGCAAACTGGCTTAAGATTTGCATGAATCAAACCAAATTTTATAAATAATGAAATTTCTTTTAATTCATGATAACCAGAGCAACGAGGGAAGAAACGCGAAACCATCGTTCTCCAATGTCTTGAAATTCATGTCATCTTCAATTACTGACGTCCCTAGAACAAATGATAAAATCATTAAATGAAAGGAGGGCTCATGACTGTAAGAATATGGGACAATGTCCTGGAAAAAAGCTGTTGTCGAGGGTTGGCGTTAGATTTTTTGTTATAATTGAACTTAGTTTTGTGACAAAAACCTTCTGAAATTATTCCTGTTAACACAATTTGTAGAACTCGATTTTACACGGTGCAAAAGGCCATGAAAATATCTGGAATCTGGAAAAGTAGAATTGAGCTCTACTTCAGGCAACCGTTACAAGAGCAAAAACTGTGTTGCACAACTTTAAAATGACAAGTAATACGGTGCAATCGACCAGTAACTTGTGTAGCAACCTCATCGAGAGACAACATCCAAGAAACATTGCACCGTTTAACACTAGCATAAAGGCCTACATTTGTTTCGAGGCATTAAATATGAGAAACAAAGGTAGGCATATAGAACGCTTCATGTCACACAGGATGGAACTTAAACTTTAAGAAGAAATAGATAGGGAACAAACAAAATTATTCAGCATCAAAAATATCAAAACAATCCAAAAACGAGGTAATTATTGGCTTTAACTTTTTTTCCTGATTTTAAGGTCAGTATTAAAGTAGGCAATCTATCTATAATTTTAGCTACATACCTTTCACAAAGGCGGTTCAAATTCTCTTTTTCATTTCATGGTCCCTTCTTTAGCTCGATCTTTTTCTTTCCTTTTCTCTCGCTCCCTCTCTCGTTCCCTTTCGCGACGCTCCTGCTCCCTATTTCGCCTTTCCTTCTCCTTGTTACGGTCTCTGTCATACTCTCTGTCATTGTTATAGGAACGAGGTCGGTCTTTATTATAGCCTCTTTCTTGCGGTCGTTCCTTCTTTTCTGGAGACTTAGTACCAGTTGGAGATTTGACCCTCCCTTTGTCTGGGCTAGATCGGTCATCTGACGAGAGAGGAAAACAACACGTTTGGCTACCTTTCTAAATCAATGAATGAAAGTCAACTTAAATGGAATACGCTCTTGGTAAAATTTTTTAACAAGAGAGAAGTAAATATTACAACGTTCTGCTGAAGACTACGATGAAGGAAGTAGACCCAACCTTTACCAAGCCCTTTGCCTGTATGCCTGTCGATTCCATACTTCGGAAAATACAATCTGCGCTCAAGTACAAACTGCTACACAGGAAAACCCCAAAATCAAAATTAGTAGCAAATAACATAACGACATAGATGGGTTAATGTAACATTCAAAAAAGCCTCATAGAAATTAGGTCCAGAAAATTAGCTGTTTGTACAAACAAACGCAGAAACAAATGCAGCCAAATGTTTATATTAGATAAAAAAACCCTGAACAACAACTGTGAAGTTTTTAATACCTTTCGCTTTGTTTCTGTCATGCCTTGCTACCGGAGGTCGGTATATGGCCATTGCTGGCCTCTCCTTAACAACAAGAGAAGACATGAAATTAATGCCAACATGAAACAGTGGGAAATTTATTTGACAGTTTACGAACATTCTCCATAAGTCGCAGAGGATATAAATAAAATGGCATAGCTTCGTTGAAGCATACTTCATATCAAGAATGGACAATCGGTGGTGGTAGGCGGGAATGCTTACCTCACCACCCCTGTCGCATGAATACCACTTTAAGAGCATCTGGTTGGTAATCATCAACATAATCGAAACAAAAGAATTTTTAAAAATTCAATGCGCGTGGTATTCTTTAAAAAAAAGCCAGCAGTTGAGATCTCTTCTGTTAAGTATAGTAATAATTCTGTAAAGTAATGATTCTTTATTAGAAGCTTAAAGGCCAATCTCCATTGGGCGAAATGTTTCGCTTTTGCACTGACGAAAAGCGAAAACTACATGGCGCACAATCTCCAGCTCACAATAGCTTTGCGTGCCAGATAGAAAGCAAATATTTGCGTGCCGAGCATTTCAAGATGTCGGATGAGAATACAAATATTCTGATTTTGCTTTAGTTGTTAAAGCGTAATAAACAAAGAAACCAAATTCTACCAAGAGCGAGAAAGCAACGGAGCTTACAAAAATCTGGTTATAGATCTACAATTATAGGACCACCAACGATTTTTTACCTATTTTCGTATGCAAAGTTTGAACAATTGTTGTCTTTGGTGGTTCCATATCTAGTGAACGAATCAAGTTTCGCAAACCAATAGCTGCTAAGAGAGACTATGTGTGATTCTAAAACCCCTTGTTTCTGGTGATTCGCATGTATCAGTTGGCACGAGCTATAGGATAAGCCCCACAACTGTTGGTAGGATTATAAAAGAAAAATGTAACGTACTTGTAACAAGAAATTTTATTATTTCTTTATCCAACACGAAGTTGATTCAGACATTTTCCTTTATGTATATAGGACGTCAACTTCACCATCGACAGAGAAAAAAGTTCAAATAGTTTAAACTTCCAAGGCGAACGTAGCACACAGCACAGGAAACAAAAAAATTCAAATACGCATGCTCATAACCTTTCGCCGGTGAAGAGGCGAAACAAATTCACCCAATTGAGATTGGCCTTAAGTGTTATCTTACCTTGTTCTTTACTTTCTTGTCCCCGTCATCCACTTGATTATTACCTCTGCTATGTTCCTTGCTTTTCCATTTATCTTGCTCCTCCCCCTTCGATTTATCAGCAACCTCTTTCCCTTTAACTCCATCATTGCCTTGTGTTTTTTTGCCATATTCTTTGCTCGTCTCGACTGATTTTCCAAACGCAACGATGCTTGGATCCTCGTACTCAATTGATTTCCTTCTCGGTCTTTGCTCTTCCTGCTTCATTTGCTCAGTTCTTGAAGTTTTCTCTGTGAAACAAAACGTTAACATTTCAAAATGTGTATGCCCTTTAACTTCGGTTCTTCGAAACTTGGAAAATGGCAAATAGCATTCTTCATACTTTTGAGTGCTGAGTCTGTGAAACTAATTACAATAATCTTGGGGTTTGTCTCGCCAAAAGTTTTTGCAAACCAAGATATTCAAATTATGCTTATGTTCAGATATCATAAATGTTTGGGAATTCTTTGTGCAAAATGGGGTTGATGTATTCAGAAATGGTATTTGAGCTTTGAGGGCCAGGGGCAGTGAGTTTTCCGAGTTTCTTGTCTGAGCGCCTATTTCTCTTCGATTCATAAACAAAAAAGCACTTCCCGCTGAATAGGGTTGGCCTCCAACTCCAATAACTCCCCCAAGCTGGCGTGACTGTTTGCAAACTGAAAATCATTTTTATGAAAGCCCCTTACATTCTAGTAACGCTGTCAATCTGATTCGTATGGATTTTATTAGAAACAACAAAATTTTGTCCAGAGCATTCGAGAAAATTCTCCATATTACAGGCAAGAAGTTTGTTTGTAAAAACAGCAGAGCTTACTTTGATCATCTGCTCTTCTCTGATTTTTATCTTCCTTGCGCTCATCTCGATTTCTTCTTTCATTACTTTGGCGCCTATCCTCTCTCTTGTTTATGCGACCTTCGCTCCTTCTGCCCGATGTATCAGATCTGGCACTTAGCGGTTTATCATCATCGTCTTGCTTTCGAGATTTGAGATCCTGAAAAATATATTTTAACAATAACTCCTAATAAAATCTAGACTGCACCAGAAAATAAGCTGCAAAAAAAACAAGACAACGACAACAACAAAAGCAAAAATAGCAACAACCGCAAAAACAACAACAGCAACAAACCCACAGAAATGTACAATCACAAACAGGAATAATGAGGCAAAGGAGTCGACTTCATTTTCGTAGCAAGAATGTTCACTCTTCACATTTACCATTTATTTTCCTGTAGTCAAAGCGCAGCCAAACAATTTGCAGTCTCTTTTCACAAAGACTTTGAAGTTAAATATCGCATTAGTATTACTTGATTTCATTCATAGATTCTTAGTTGAGGAGAGCTGCGTTTACTATTAAAAAAATCAAAAATCAGCGAAGATTCCTATTTCATTTTCAATCTAAATGTTCATATATAACTTAAAAATTATTTCTAGAATCTTCAGAAATTTGCAAAACTGTCCTTTAAAATATTCACGCACGGGGAAGTACACACAGTACTATATACACACACCGCTCAACTTTGGATTCCTATGAATAACCAGGTGTTAACGTCACTATAAACCTATCTCCTTCGTCCAGCTTTCAGTGACAAAATTTTTACCTTAATCATAATTGAGTGACATTGCAAACGGATGTAAGGTGTTTTTTCAGAAAACGTTTCAGCACTGTGAAAGTGCTTTAACAATTTTGGCAAGAATTTTAGCTGCACTGAAAAATAACACCAAGTGATACAAAATCAAAACTATCAAGCAATCGAATACATTAAAACGTCACACTTACCCTTGAATCTTTCTGATCACGCTGGTCATGCCTGTTTTTCTTTCCAGAATTGCCCTGAATAAATTGTTTACTTAATAACATGCAACGTAACCAGCAACGATCACAAATCTTTGCTTTTAAAATTCTTATACTTATATTCACTTCAATTATATTCAAAATAAAAAAAACCTTTTTATTCACCTAAATGTAGCTTCATTGATACCACTGCCTCAATTAACTTCTTACTGGAATTGTAATTTTCTTTCTTATATACGAATGGCTGATTAAAAGTCAGCGCAAATTTAAGGCAATGCACTTAAAATATAGGAAGTCAAGTCAAATAAAATGAAATACAAAAAGATTAAGCTAGCCTTATTTATCACATAAGTACGAGCATTCTGCTTTGACACATAAGATTAGCAGCAGTCATAAAGGAAGGAAAGAAGGTGGCCAAAGGTTAGAAGATAATATAAACAAGCAGAAATCAATAATGCGTGGCATCTTGTGGATATGTAAAGTGCCACAAACACACACATGTATTTCATGAGAGGGTTGCAAGACAGTTTCATTTTTACAAAAGACATTACAGAAGTAATAGATTAAAAATGGCTTTGAAAAAAAGCAAAACGTTAACGCACATGGCACTGATGATTATAAACTCTGGACTCGGAACTTGACCAACAAAAGACGAAAGAGGAAAAAGGCTATCCGGAGGATGTCATTTCTCTTCACACCAAGGAGAAAGTCGCAAGCTTTTCGACTTAATTAAAATTTGGCCTAGAGTTTTCGATCTACGTTCTGACGTTTTATACTCTGAAGAGTGTCACGCAAAAAACTTTAAGTTTGATTCAAAATGTTTTCTTTTTTCCAAATCCATTTTTTATTCTGTAACACAAAAGGATTGCTAGTGCTAGATTAGCTGGATGTACTATAGCACTGTTAAGAAGTACGGCGTTTGTTGTTCAGCCATAAGAAAAAAAACGACGTGGAACTCGAATTTATGCTTTTAAATAAAATCTTACTCGTCTTTCCCTTCGTTCTTCTTTTCTTTTGTTTTCTCTTTTATCCTGAGATCCCTTTGTTTCACTGTTTCTGCAATAAGCAAAATACGATCCTATCAAAGGCTGTATGACTTTCTTCTTTAAAAACATAGTTGTAGCAGATTAGGTAATGACGAGTAAAATAACAGACATTCTACGTGATACAAATTAAGCTAAAAATCAACTAGAAGATAACAAACAAGACAAAATCAATATAATTCTGTTATGAGTAGGGGGCGCTCTTCCGTCATTTAGCTTTACTTTATGCTAAAGCCATTCCAAGAGAAATTTTTTCGATACGAAATTCATCTTTTGCTCTACTAGGCACACTCTAGATGTACTTGTAACTAGTGCAATCGTTCAGTAAAATTAGTTCTGTATCAAGTTGAAATATATTATAACGAAAAAGAAGAAAAGCTTCCTTTGACAGACGACGATTTTTTCACGTCGAGTAATAGAAATACCTCAAGTGGGAGAGTATTTGGCTTGTTGCAAAATTCTGCAATTTAATAAGTTGCATCACGCAAAATGTTGTTGAACGACATCTAAATAAGTGATGAAGGATCGTCTTCATTGGATATAACTTGAAATGAAACTTTATCAAAACTGGAATAATGAATGGATTCATTACCTATAATTCAAAATAATATAATTTAACTAAGAATGGCTCAATACATTGAAGGAGATTCACTACACAATCATGGATCTGTAGCTTCTCTCTATCTTGTTGTTTTAGAGGGCCCCTTGCTCTTATCGTAGCACTACCAGCCACCACAAACAATTCGAAATAGAGACTTTAAATCAGCAGTCTGTCCCTGAATGTGGCTGATTGGTTAAAATCAAAATAGATTAAAAGGATCGTCAGATTCGACTAATAATGTTTGACTTACGCATCTTTTTTGTCTCTCTTTGAATCTTCAGAATACCGATCATCATTTGAAAACTGAAAATTGATTATTTATTAAAAGCTTAAATATTTACCTGTTTAGTATGTTTCTGGTATCACGTGCAAAATAAGTTACATTTCACCTAATATTTAACCCTGACATATATTTCCTAGCACAAGGCCAGACCTACAACCAAACACTGTCTATTAATGAGGGGCATTTATACTTAAATGCTCCATTTGCAAGTTATGTCCACCTAATAGATGTGGTATATTTCGATGTCTTCATGAAATTAATCATAATCCCTCAAGGTTTTGTTATAGATATGCAGCAGTATAGACAAAAAATAAGTTTGACCGCACATTCAAACCAAAGGAACATATGGTACGTGAAAATCATCTAAAACCAAGAGCTTTGTTTGAAACACCTAAAATGCTAATCTTGAGTGTAAATTTTGGAAAAGAAACATATCTATAAAAGAACTGTTCGAAACTGAACAATTTATACAACTCGCAACAGAAAGCGTTATTTCTTTAGCTGCTTTACAAAATCACAGAAAACCTTTGAGTCTCTGCCAGATTCCTTTTCTCGTCTCATTCTTCTTTCGTTTTCCTGAAAACAAATAGTATTAGCTTGATCTAGCTCGCAGAAATTTTCTCTAATTGAATGCAATCAACACAGGATCGAGAGCTATTCAAATTCTAAATACAGAAAATCTGCTAGAAAAAGATTATACCAGCAAATGAAGTCAATTGCAAGCAAAGGAAATGTTATTTACAGTGTTCCATAACTGCAACAGCGAAAACAAAAGTTCCATAGCATTCCCAAATATTTCTAGAAGCATTTCCAAAATGTTCAAGGCTATTCCAAAAAGCCAATGGCAAAAGCAAAGTTCGTTTTATTCCAAGAACTAATGGCAAAGTAAGTTATTTGGAAAGAGGAAGCTAAAGATATCCCTAGAACCATTTTCTTTTTTGTTCTTGAATAAAGTCATTTCACTGGTATTCGATTTTTACTTCGTTTTGACTCTATCATATATGTCAGTTTTTGTTTACTGTAGCTAATTTAGGCTAGTTTTAAAGAAATTCGCGCTTGCAAGATCATAAATTTCGCTCAGCATGTATGTTTTATCATTATCCAAATTAACTCTCCTGTGTTGTTCCACTGGCCTCTTAATTTGATAACACAATATTAATAATAATTTCATAACATAACACAAATGTTTATATTCTTTAGGAATCCATATCAATTTTTAAGCTTAATTTTGTGCTCGGGAATTTCAAAAGGGGTGACTGGAATAAACAGGAGGTTTGAAGGGGAGACTGCTAGAATTACCAGTGATTAGTAAAATTATGGAGGGTAGAATTTATCAGCCGGAGCTTGAAACAGGATGGTGTGTGAAAGAAGCAGAAAGCGACAACAATATATTGCATCATGCAGGTGTGCTTAGAGTGGGAGAAATTTTTTTCCATCTGAACAGTCTTTGGTTGCTTACTCAATCCCTTTCTTAAAATCAGGATCTGGTTATCAGATAACTTCTTGATAGATTTCAAGGTATCGCTAGATGCAGTCTGCAAGCATTGGAGGTTATGCAAACAGAACAGTCATATCTTTATCTTCTATGATTTGTCTCAGCATTCAAAGATGCTAGTTTATAAGATGTTCAACAAAAAGCAAAGCAGAACAACCAAAACCAACCTTCTCCAATTAAGTGAAATTGGATAAAAACAAAAAAGCTAGAAAGAAAGCTAGAAAGAAAAACTTTCGTTTAAGAATAAGCCATACTTTCTAACAATTTTTAGGGAGGATGTTATCACTTGCTTTTGCTGAAAGTTTTGAGAAATGTCATGAATACTTTCATTTTCCTTTAACGTTTTAGAAATGCTTTTAACGGTTAGAGAATGCTGTTAATCATTAGGGAATGCTGTGGAGGTTCTTTTGCCATGTCAGTCACAAACAAATTCATTGCAGAAAAGACCTGAAATGATAAGCTTTTTACAGATTATTCAATCTTTTTTGTAACTGATTAACTTGTGGCTAAAGTTTTTGTGTATGAAATATGAGTAACATTGCATGGGGAGTCGTAGCTCATGAATATATTTTTATCAGAGTGATGTTGACTTTGATTTCCTTATGTCAAATTTCAAAATCTCCAAAAGTCTCCCATGTTATCTGAGGACTATCATTCATATTAAACATAAACAATCAGAGCAAGCCCCCTAAAAAACAAGTTACAAACTCACCAGAGCATTCTGTCTGCTAACATTTTTAGCAGCCTTTTTCTTGTTCAAAAATTCCACAAGAGGTGTTTGTGATTTCTCCTTAGAGCCTTAATGACAACATGACATAAAACAGTATTGATGTACTTACAAAAAGAAAAGATTATAAAGCGAGAAAATATCCTTCTTTTGAGAAATATTAGAAAAATAATTCCTACTTTATCGATTTCCGTATGTTAATTCAATTTCTAGAAAAATATGTGTTGCTTGGGACATCTTCAATCTCAAGAGCTTATCAACCTAAGGTTAAGCCTTAAAAACCACTAAAACTCTACATTTAAATAAATATAATAATTAATATGCAGGCATAGAACTGTTATAATAGATTAAAATTTGAGGGGAATTTTTGACAAAGTTGATATCTGAATAAATTCAAATTTTGAAAATCATAAAAAAATACAAGACAATATTCACCTGCAGCTTTGGTTGATTCCATTTGCTCTACATAAATTTCAGCACTTGGTAATGGCTCTACTTTTTTGCTTAGATTTTCTAAGAAAGCTTCATAGTCTGGATCTATTCAAAGAAAGAAGTTAAACTAATGTTCCAGTTGCCAAAAGTTACTTTAGTACCACCTCAATTATTTGAAGTTAGATTAGTAGGTAAGGTAATGAAAACAAACAAAATGATCAATCATTTGAGCAAAGAAGATGCTAAATATCCTCTAATAATAGGCAAACTCTCTGTATGTACTTGTATGAGGACCCTTGTGAAAAATATCTACAATTTCAAGCAAACAAAATTTATCTCACCAGAAAAAGAAACTCATTGCCATAACATAGTATGGCATATAAATGAATCTGTATTGTTTTGACACAGAATCAGTATTTCATCTGTTCATTCTGCATTTCCACGCTGTTTTGATAATCAAAGATGCACTGTAAAACCATCAAAATTTAGCCTTTTCAAGATAGATTGAGCATTTTGAATCACTTCAAATTTTAACAGACCTTTTGTGATTGATCCATTCTTTACATCCTTTCTTTTTCTATTCTCTCTTGGAATTGCTTGAAATGGTGCAACCTCTACAACAGCACTGCTTTCATCTCCTAAAAAATTTAAATTGCACAATAAGATAGTGCTAAGCAAAATTATACTTGCTCTGGCATATTTTCTCATCGATATTCTTACTTAAAAATTCAAGAAAATACTATTTCATTGGAAGCATCAATTATTAAGTTAGAATAAAGCTATTGATAGCTATTGTTATTTCAATCTTACTACAACATCTTTCTGATAAACTGTTTTGCTTACTCTGTCCCTAAAAACAGAAAATATTTTAGCTTTTTTTAACTTTGCCAACAGTTTCTCTGGTTATACCTTAACTCTAGGGTTACAGCTGTAAATTGCTTTAAAGCATATGTCAAAAAATACATAATCTGGAGTGATTGATACCTTTAGATATTCAAGAAGCATACATCAAAAGACATTTATGAAATCTTCACCTACCTTTTCCAGCATTGAAAATGAAGCCATCAAATTTATTCCTGAACAGAGTTACATCCTCAAATCTTTTGAAATTTATGTATGCTCTTGCAAATGAATGTGGATAGAGGCTGTCAAAAATAAATTGATAATAAATTATTTGACAATAAATTATGACAAAGAACTTTTATTTGATACCAATTAAAGTTTGATACCAATTGAATTGTGCCTCCTTTTCTTACATCTCTGATTAAATATTGTGCAATATATGTTATGTATAATCTAGTTGTGGATAAAAGAAAAGCAATTTCATGGAAGCAAAATAACAAAGCAACAAAATGTCTGATTAACTCAAATTTTCTTAGGCAACCCTGTTTATCTGTTATCTAGGATGCAAGTTCTAACGAGGAAGATATTGATGGCTGTACAACTCTTTTTTAAAGGTTTTTGTTTCATTTCTTCATTTAAGTTCCAGTAAGCCAAGTTAAAAAGGTAAAACATTATGAAGAAACATTACAAACTTAATCAATCTTAGTCTTAAATCATGTAATCTTAATTTTTTTAGAATTTTCCTTTGCCAATGTTTGGACAATCTTTGAAAACATACATCAGATAAGATGAAACACTCTCTCAGTTTTTGCATTTGAGGTTGGCATTGTGATTGGCATTGAGGTTGACAATTACTTTTGATTAAAGTTAAACTTTGCAGGTGAATTAATGTGGCCAAGTCCTTTTCGAAGACTTGACAAGAAGCAAAAGCATTTTATCAACTTATTTTATTAATCATTTCTTTCCCTGCCAACAGTACAAGGTAGTAAGGTCAGAACAGATAACCAAACCAGCTTTGCTTTAATGTCAGCAGTGCCAAGTGCTGACCCAGATTACAAAGCTGTCTAAACAATCAATAGCTGTTTTAAAAGAAATGTTTCATTAAAAATTAACTAGCTGTTTGGTCAAAAAGGGGGAATATTTTCCAACCATTATGCTTGATAATTAATGTGTGCAATGCTGAATTTATGGCACTTTACAAACAAAAGATGACCCACCTATAATCAGGAGACACAAATCTAAAGTGATCATGCTCTGGAATTCCAACAAAGATTTCTTTCAAGTCTGCTTCTGTAAGTGAGGCTGGGAGTCTCCTTATCACCAACTAAAAAATGTGTTATAATTTTAATTTGAATATCTGATACTCAGTGGCTCAGAATCTGCACCAAGGGTTACTTTTATTACTTTTACATAGACAGAGAACCAATAAAAGGTGTCTCAAGGCACCAAGAGGGAAAACCTGTTCTCTGTAACTGTTGGATACTTTTTTAGTATTATCTTTTGTCTACTCATAAGTGGACCTTGAGTTAGATAATTATAAAAAAGAACGTAAATTGCTAATTTGTCATTTCAGTCATTTAAAAAGTACCAAATATCAACTGAAATTAAATTTGTTTTGCTAGATAAAAGAGACTTAAATTAGCCCAATTTTTCAAGACACACCTGAATATAACAGCAAAAGCATTGAACCACATTAACATATTGAGAATATTTATCAAGGCAAACATTTTTATGGACTAAAATTTCTTAATTGCTATATTTGCAATATATACATTATTATATAATGCCAAAAGCATGAAAAATTATTTTAGTTTAGCATCAAGAAATCCATAGCTAAAAACTTCAGCAAAATATAAAATATTTTCTTGAAAACAGACATTTGTCTGTTTAAAGAAATGCAGTAGCTAATAGGTATTATCAGAAACAAATTATTTGGCTTGGTTGAGCTAAGGTTAACAAAGTCAAGATAATCTGTCTGCAGCTGATTGAACTCCACTTTAAAATCTAATAGCTACCTTAAAACAAGTTGGTTTAGTATTTATTTCGTTTTGTATGAAACTCACCATCACTCAATTTTTTTTCTTTTTCTAAACATGGCCTTTTTTCGTATAATTATATATAATCTAACTAAAAAATTACCGAACAATGGTAGATTACCTTTGTAGGAAGCAGTTCTTTTTCCTTCTTTTTTGACTTGCTTTGGGACTTTTCACTCCCTTCCAATTTACCCATTGCCATTTCAGTGGTGTCGTCCTTGTGGCAACATAATTAATCGCTGAAAGATTGTTACTTTTAAAGAAATTTTGCAAACAGAAAATTTCACCATCACAACAAATATCCATTAACCTCGATTCTGTGAGATCTCTTCTGGATGAATGCCTCGTATGAACACAGGAAACCTCTTCCTCGCAATGTTTTAGGCCATTGGGTTTGTGCTGTATGCTCATGGATTTTTCATTACATTTTTAGTTTTATATGAGCAGAATTGGTGGTAGGAAAAGACTGTGTTAATGATCGAAGTATATAATATATCGGCTTGTGGATTATAAACTCTCACACACAAAAGTCACACAGAACTTGGCCTGTTTTGTGATTGTATATTGTGTATCTATAATCGAAGAAAGCGTCACGTTATAAATTTCTTGAGGTTTCCACCATGTCCAAAGCATCGAAATCTAGCAATTCCTTTTTCGATAGCTCTCGCTCAATATTTATCAGTGGACTGCATTCTAGAGTGACAGAGGAAATTCTTTGGGAGCTTTTTCTTCAGGTAAAAGTCAAGACAAGACAGCGCAGGTTGTTTTGTTTTGTGTATCTAATTTAGTCCAGGGTGACATAGACAAGAAATAGACAAGAAGTTGAAATTTCTGTCCTCTCAGCAGAGCCTGTTTCTTGAAACACTGGAAAAGAAATGAGAGATAAAATCATTTTACATACCTTATTAAAAAAGCCGTAAAACAAGCAATCTCAAAGGTGTTTTGAAATTGAGTTCAATATCAACAATTAATCTATAGGCATGACCTTTTTGGTATGACCTGTGCCAGAATGGAACATTATATCATCAGCTAAAAATATCTTCTTGTGTAATTGTTCCAATGAAATTTGAAATTATGATAGGTTTTTCGACTTTTAAAAATATACTTATAATTATAGGTATTTTGAGCTACTCATTAAGTGATTTTTGCGTTAAACAAGTTTATTCATTTCTGCCAGGCTGGCCCGCTTGAAAATGTGAGGATCCCCAAAGATAGAGACACAGGTAAGCAAAGGACATTTGGTTTTGTTGTCTACCAAGACAAATGCTCAGTTCCATATGCTTGTGAGCTTTTTGACACATTGAAACTATTTGGTCGTCCAATCAACTGCAAACCACAAAACAATGGATCTAACAGTCCAAAAGCAACTCCAAGTCCATCTCATGCAATTTCATATTCTGATGATGATAGTAGTAATTACCAAAGGAATGAAGAGGCAGTTAGAACACCAAAGCTTGATTTTTTTGGAGTAGATAACAGCCCATATGGTAGAACACCTGATTCAAATTTTGCTGGCAACAGAAGGCTTCAACTCCACAGATCCTATAGTGGAGGTATGCCTTCACCTTTGCTGGACCTTAGGACCCAGGCTCTCATGAGTCAGAGCTCTCTTCAATGGGCAGAGCAAAATTTTCCTCATGACAGCCCTGGCCCCATGAGGAGGTCACGAGGAACTTATGGAGAGGGGAGTAGAAGGCTGGGGCAACCATATTAATATTATTTCTGGATACCAGAAATGATTAAGAGCTAGTGTATAGTTATGTAAAAAGCCTTTGAAAGTTATCATGTTCACTAAAAACCTGGCAACAGTGTAAAGTATTGTTCATAAATTACAGAGAGACTAACAGCTCTGTTTTCACCCATAGGAAAGATTAATCATAAATCTGGAACATTTAGTAGAACAGCAAAGATATTGAGCTCTTTTAACCAGACCTTAAGTTTTCCTATAATCCTAAGCAGCTTGAAACTATCTTCCAAAACTTTCTTGAAATCTCTGTATCTCTGTATGAACATCTTATGTATCACTAACTAGGCATAGTCTTTTAAACTTTCTACATGTTTTTACAATGTGTTTTAAGCATTTTAACCCTACTGTTTAAAGTATTCTTTTTATCAAGTGTTTTAGTGTTAGAACACTGAACTGTGTTGTAAAGATTCTAAGATTCTATTTTGTAAGCTATTTACTTACTAGGTTTTCATTGATAGCCAGTCACAATTTTATTAGAAAGGTTTTGTTTCTTGTTGTTAAGTTTCACCTTCCACTCTGGTATGTAAGCTTGAGATGCCTCATTTTATTTAACACCAGAGTGACAATAGCCCATTTACCTTTGTTAATGTTACACTTGTAAGTGCTTTAAGTTTAAACATGACTTTTATAAGTACAACAATCTAAAAATTGAGGTTTTAAGATATCATTTCCTTATTTGTTACCTACAGCTGTCAATGTTAAATCTTCAGAATGTACTTATTGTTCTTTTTTAAGCATAATTCCTTTGTTTTTTTTACTTTTACTGAGTACAAATGTAATGTTATTCAACATTTTTCTTCATCTGCAAAAGAAAAGTTGGAGGAATGCTACGGTCTTGCATTTGTAGATTTCTATATTACAATTTTGCTTCTGTTGTCTTTCTTACAGTAAAGAAAAGTTTACACTGTACATAAAGTTCCATTTTATAAACTCATATAGGAACTATGGTAGCACTAAAGAGGAGGCAGAGGGGGCTACAGCCCCTCAATCAGAGGAGGTTAGCTCCCCTATTGTATAGTGTTCTAAGAAACATTTAGGTTTTGTTCGTGCAAGATTTTAATGTGCTCATAATCAGAAATTGGTAAAATTGTTCAATTACCTTGCAGTTTATCCTATTCAATTGAAAGTATTATAATATTCTAGGCTCTTGGTATTTTCTAAAAGATCACATTACTGTCCTCTTTCTTACAACACTTTTATAAGCTGTTTCACTTTTCAGTTATTTATTGAAAGTGACGTTTAGTAGACTGCTTCATGGTGCTTAAATTTTTGCTAATTGGATTACTTTGCCTTTTTTAAGAAATTGATTGGAAACCATGTTATTGGGGAAATGGTACATGTACATATACTTGAGATGTTGAAATAGTCAATATCTTAGCGAGGAAGCCTGAAATAGAAGGAGTAATTGTAGAATGGATAGGCAACATCACCCAGCCTCGTTTTTGTAATATCTTGCTACACCTTCAGTGTCTCTTTTTTTATCTTGTCTGTATCCAAGAAAGCACTTGTGCGAGACTGTAGAGCAGTTCTATTACCGTAAAATATTTATAATTGGCACATATAGCTAAGTGATTGTGCATTTATCATGCCATCATAGACAGTAAAATCCACTGCAGTATTGGCAAATTTACAGTTTTTGTTTCATATTTGACACATTTCCTGACATCTTGTCCTACTAAATTTGTCACAACGTTTTGTTACCTGGAAATTTTACCACAAAGAATAACCCCCCCCCCTTTGAGGATGATATGATGACAAAAACTGTATTTTTCTTATCAATGTATTTTTGAAATTGAAAAGAACCAATTTTGCATATTTTATCGGGAAATCATATTGAAACAAACAAAGCCAGTTCGCTTGCTAGAGGCAGAATTTTTAAAAAGAGTGGTTGGCCATTTTGAATAGGTAATGTAACATTTGCACCACCAGCAGTACCTTAGCTAAAAGGCCCATGTTGGCAGGTTAATTGCAGTACTGCACAATACGGTGCTTCCAGGGCCTAACTATTTATAAGTATTTTAACAGCTTCAATGGTTAGTTCACATTAAACTACAGAATTTTCCTATGCTGAATTTGGAGAAATTTTGTAATTTAATGTGAACTAGCCACTGAAGTTGTTAAAATACTTAAAGCAGCATTTTTGGGATTCATTGCAACAAGGAGTCAAGACTTCCTTATAAGGTTAAGGATAAATTGTGATCAGGTGGCCCTTTTAAATTGTGATAAGGAAACGTTTTCAATTGAATGTACTCAAAAATGGTCTTACTTACTGCCGTGGAGCAAAATCTGTAACTTGTGTTGCATCCAAAAGGAAATTTTCCATTTTCTTTTCCGCAGAAGCATTACGTATGAGTGCTAACTATTTCACCCCAGTTTTCACTTCTTAGGTCCCAGCAGGTCAACGTTCACCATCATTTTTCTGAAACCCTTCATATTTGGGTATTTAAAAATAACCATAGCAATTTGTCCGCTTTCAGGTGGCACCTACATCAAATTAACCTAGCCTACTAAACTATCTGGTTTTGTCCTGTGGATCATCTAAAATTCTGAATTTTTGAGTTTTCTTTTGATTGCAAACCAAGCCCTCTTGTCTGAAGATCAAGCCCCTCTATTGGAATATTTCTAGCGCCAACACTGTAATATAAAGGAAGTGACAGTTACAGATAAAATTGGTAATTTGGAAATCTTTGCCAATCTATAATATGTACTATCGTATGTTTAGATTTGGGGGTTATAATACTACTCGTTAAAATTGTTCTACGAAGAAAGACAAGGAAGGCTCCCCTAATATTTTCTAAAAACCTGTCTAACTCTAAAGGTGAAATGTCAGTAAGACTGAAGCAGTGGTGGCGTCAGCTACTGCAGAGTGGGAGGGTAATAGGCGTTTCCTTTGAGACAACGCCTCTTTTGCCTCTTTCAGTGCTTTGTAGCGGGTTAATTCTCCTTAGGAAATATAATCCACCCCTACATAGCGTTTTTAATCCGTTTTAGTCCGAAAATATGTAGGCCGCGTTTTTAAAAAAAAAAGGGGGGGGGGGGTAATCCTACAATAACTATTATGAGGGTGGATTTGAAATCATTTTTGTTCTCGAAAGTTGAAAAGTGAATCAACACAGACTATCGTCCAAACGTTTTCCCCCCTGTCATTTTGGTGTCACTCCACAATTTCCTTAAATGCGTTCTGGAAAATGATAGAAACTTACTCATGAAGCTCTCTAGCCCCTACAGTTGGCATGGCAATGAGTCATCATCTTAAACATAACCAGTAACGTGTAACCTTTGACAACCAGCGGGACGATGTCTGATTTAAAGACAAGCAAATATTTATCCAAACTCTGCACATTTACTAATGTGCTTCGTTTGTTATATTCCCATCGAATATGATTGAATGAAAAGGAGAATTTGTCATTATTTCTTAGGACAAAAATAAGTAAACATTTATCTGCCGCTTTTGCCGTTACCTGTTATTGAGACACGCCGAAAAGGGTTTTTATCGTGATCAGACAATAGTTATATGGAAAGCATTGCTCTGAAAATGAAACATTCAGTCCTCAAAGGAAGGCTTAAAGTTACTTAGAGTCAAGCGAATTGAAGTGAAATCTTGTATACTATTTTGATACCCAACCCAAGTTTGAGCTGGTAATTGTTAAGACTGAAATCCAAATCAAGGGCTGAATCATTCATTTTCATACGTGCTTTAACTGGCAAGTTAGGCCCATCCGATTTAAACAGCTGCTTTAACTATTCTAGGTTTATCATGTTTCGCCTTTTATGCCTTTATTCCATTTTTTTTCAACGCTTTCCATTCAGCGAAGCTGATTTTCAAGGAGCCCTCTAGGAATCAATACCCTTGGTGCCAGAGCCTGAAAAAGGAGTCGACTCGAGCAGTGGAATAACTTATTCGAATTCGACGTCATTTTCCACTGAGGCTCTGGTACCCAGGGTATGAAATCATTAATTACAACACATACACACAAGTTTAAAAGACACTTATAAATACTTCAAAGAACCATTATATTAAAAACATAAGCAGAGGAATATAAGTAGAAAATTTAGAAAGAGCCTTAGATATTTGAAATGTTTGTATTTTGACGTTCTTGGAACTGATCGGGTTCCATTGGACCACAACAACCCCAAACAGTGCAGCAGTATCGAAAGTGGGGCTCCACCCAACTTTAGTACCAGTCTTCAAGTTTTCATTTGGCAGAAAGGGCTAGGCATGTTTAAAAAACAACATCTCTAGAAACTTTGGTGGAAATCGAGTTGATGTGTTCTTTCCATTAGAGAGAGCTGATAATCTGCAGACAAGTTTTCCATGTATTTTAGACCTCTTCAAGCTCTTTATCACAAATTCTCAAGCTCTTACCACTTATAAATTCAACTTTATGAAAATATGTTTTTAGGCAGGAAGATTTGTGGAATTGGGGTTTGCAACATTTAAAGTAAATTTGTTGCCTTTTTAGCCACATTTTTGGTTGTTTAAGATTATTGTTTACCGTTTCCCTCAGCTAAGTCCGATTAGAATTTTTAAAATATGAAATGGTTCCAGCACAGTAAGGGCCGTTTTTTACTTCGTACCGTATCGATGCCGAATCTTCGTGCCATAGCATATATGTTGCAGCCCCTAGTCACTTCGTGCACTCTAATAAACCTTTATAAATCTTTCAACTGGGTCATTTGTTCATAAATTTGCTTTTGTTTCGGAGAAAACGGCGACAGAATCTTTGGCTTTCATTGCTCCACCAGTGGGTTGCAAAATTGCGATTATCAAATAACTAAGGACTTTCCTCAGCGTTAGTGTTGCGATAGAATATTCAAATTGGCAAACATATTAGGCTCCAGACCCCCTTTCCAATATTACTTATATATCGCCTTTTAATCGGGTGTACTATGTATAGAATTAATCTCCAAACCTCCTTCCCTATACTACCTATGATTCGCTACTCTGGATACCAGAGCCACATAAATTCGAGTGCAGAAATAGAAGATAGGAGTGGAGCCCCTCCGATTGGATTTCCATTTCTGCACTCGAAATTTTGTGGTTCTGGTACCCAGGGTAATAAGTTGCCTGTTTATCTATTACATTGCTTTGAGATGCTTCCATCACTTTCATTTCTCTGAATACTTCTTTTGCATCGGAAATCGGCCGTTGCATTGGACATCGATGTCGCTATATCTTATAAATGCGAGGAGGATGCTTAATGCTTTTCATTAAGTTGATGTAAATTTTGGATATGAGTTATGACATCACAGATTTCGCCTTAGCAATCTTTCTGACCATAAGGACCTTATTTTATAATAACATATTTTCTAAGGACCCTATGGCCCTAAAAGATATCTCTCCTGACATTTGATTTTTGCAATGTGACCAAACATTTTTAATCGGTGCATTTGCAGATACGACACGCGATTTTGTTGCTGCAGCAGTTAAGAATGTAAATATAGAGATAGTGGCGTGACACCACAATCTTATCAAAAAGTTTAACTCCAAATCAGTTTAATTCACTGTATAAAAATATTTGGCTAAGCTGTTCACATCATTCGTTTTCGTATAAAAGGTCTATTTTCTACAAATCTAGAACATTTCTGCGTCTGTATTTAAGCAGTATTTAAACTGTTATAGAATTGTAATGATAAAGAGGATTATGAGCTATGCTGGCCTAAAAATCCTATCGCAATAACGAGATTACACGTTGAGAATACACGTAATGCGAACAAGCTTTCTGCTGTCAAGGAATGCTTTTCATTGCTTCGAGGATTCAAACGGAAAATATTTTCCGAAGCTTGTTTCCTTCAAGGTTGCAATGCCATCCTTATATCTCAGGACATTGTACACAGTAAATGAATGAGTGAAATAACAGAGATATTTCTCTTGAATGTATCATATGCAAAAGTAGGAAATCTTGTTATGGCAACCTATGGTTACCTATGGTAAAAGACCACGAGACAAAAGGCCCCTTGCTGTCTTTGTAAGAACGAAAGTACGTTGATAGGGCTTTCACTGAGGACCTCCAATGTTAGTATTTCAAATGCAAATTCCGCCTTTCCTGCTTATTATATGAAAACCTTCACAGCAGAAACAGCTTTTAAATTCACCAAAATAAAGGATAAAGACGTTAACGATAAAAAACATTTTCTTGAAAAGCTATGAATAGATATTGCTTTGGCTTTTGTTTCTCTTTCTCCACATATACACAATGCATTACATGTATTTTCGTTTGCGCAATCAACGTTCTCGTTTTCCTGAACTTCTCCATTTGGCCTTTAACCAGGGGGAAACGCTCAGCTTTTATTGAACTCATCAAATAAACGTTATACAATCATCTGGTGGCCGTTTAAGTACGACAACCGCAAAGTTACGCTTGTTTAAATATTAATAGAATTAATGCTTCGATATGTCGTTGATTACAAATTAACGAAGAAGAAATAGTGCTTATTAGGATGGTTGCTGGTTATATTGATCCAAGCTAGGTTCCAATTACAACGTGGCTGGTGTAGAAAATTGGGAATCAAGTGTCAGAAATTTGGAATTTATTTAGACTATTCGGGTTTTTACCCTGATAAAAAGGAACAGGACTGCATTTCCCTTACTATGGTATGTGTTTTCTGTTTTAAATGTGTGTTTCGTGCAGCCTGAAATCATTGATAGTAGTACAACCACAGATCTGCAAGAATCTGACCTCGGCATTAATAGGTGTATTTGCTAATGTTTAGCTTTGCATGAATCAGGCAGCTCTCGTCCAAGTAGGTTTTAAACCATATCTCTTGAGCTTTTGAAAGGATTTGATGCTAGCTATACAAGTTAATGGAACTTCTGTTACGTTTTTAAGCACTTTAAAGCGGACAACAAAATACGGCAAAATTTAGTTTCAGCACAGAGTGCAACGTCGTTTTCAAAAGGTGGCTTTATTTGTGTTGGCAACAGGGTAAGCAGCAAAGCATTTTTGAAACCTTGAGATACACAGGAATGGGGTATTTTATTCATTTAGAAAAGGAGCTAGAGGTCTTTCTCGAAAGCAAGTAAATGAAATTTTATAATCCAGGGTCACCCTAGGGAAAGACATGGCCCCTGCACTTTTTCAGCGCGATACATTGCCCAACTGACTAATGATTCTAAAAAGCGATTACAATATGTACAAGCAGGAAGAAGGTAATGGCATAATTAACATAGAAATGTATTTAGGTTCCAGTCATACGACAATGGCTTATATGGGGCTGCTCCTATAATCAGACAATACGCGTTGGGCTATTTATAAAAATGGAATAAAAGGGGTATTCCAAGGCATTTAGAGCCTGTCCCTGTTGAATCTCCCATTACTCAATATCATTGTAATTTTAAAGACAAGTTGAGTGACGTACATTTTGTCTAGTCAATGCCGTCTGAACGAAATTCATATTGGGGGGGGGGGAAGGGGGAGTGCCCATTGTGGGGCTGCCCCTTTAATCAGACAATACGTGTTGGGCTATTTATAAAAACAAATGGAGTAAAAAAGGTATTCCAAGGCATTTAGAGCCTCCCATTACTCAATATCATTGTAATTTTTAAAGACAAGTTGAGCGTCATACATTTTGTCTAGTCAGTGCCGTCTGAACGAAATTCATATTGGGGGGGGGGGGGGGGGGGGAGTGTGTGGCATTTCTTATGAAAGCACAATCTTTTATCTTCTACAGTTTTTATACCTCCACTTTTCTATGCAGTAACCATTCAAATGTGCATCTAGCTGTTTTGTTATACGAGACTGGTGTTGCGAAGGAGCAAACCAAGGGTTTGGCGAAAGCCCTTTTGTTTTCGAGAAAAATCCCCCGAGAAACCCCAAAAATCCAATTGCTTTGAAAACCTGATATGTTGTTTGAAAATAGTTTTTGCACCCCATAGAGCAAATGAAGTAAGGGAAAACATAAACAAACTTGAAGGGGGATATCTCTATACACTGAATACACTCATTTTTTTATAAGAAACTGGCTGTAAGAACGAGTAGTGGACAGTCAACTGAGAACAACGAAATTTTGTAAAATCCAAGAGCATGATTGCCCTGTTAGCCTAGAACTTAAGACACAAGGGATAAGAGTATGCTTCCCACATCTAAATACAGCATCAGAACGGAAGCGAATTTCTTGACGTGAAAAAAAGATCACGAACATTTCATAACATCATTCATGACATAATTAAAAAACTCTTAAGAACCAGTGAGTATTGAAATTTCCAGAACATTAAGAAACTGGAGTACTCAACATCGACCTTTGTTTCTTATAAAAAATGAGTGTACACTGAATATCAGAGCCTCCATTATTTATCCCCGGTTCTTGAGTCTCTGGTCGAAATAGGTTGTTCAGATTCTTAAAGTTGTCGTGACCATTGGCATGAATGGCTGTTGTAATTTTCGTCAACTTTGACTCTTTTTCAAAATGCAAATAAAAACATATCAATTTTGAAACCGGATTTCATTTCTGAGGGTAACTGAAAGCACTCTTTGTTGACTTTTGGAAAACTCTTTGGAAAATTTTTTCTCGCCTGATTCGAGTCAACCTAGGGTATAAATTAATTAAAGATGAATTCTAATCTGCTTGATAATTTCAGTTAAGCAATCTAAAGACCTTCTTACACTTACGTGAAAGGATGGCCCCTTTGCTAAACTTCGGTCATTATAAACCCTAAAGAGACAAAGGCAGGGATGTAGTGCTAGGGGGCTCAGGGGGCTAAGACTCCCTTGTTAATGCCGAAATTTGGCAAATTTCTACTTTTGCTATTGTTTTTTGCAACATTTTGTGTAAGAGCCCCCCTTGTTATTTTGATAGCACTATAATCTCCCTGCCACTCTGCCTTCCAACCCATGCCCCCATCCTGTCTGTCTACATTTTCTTCCTCAACCAAAGTTTTTTCAACGTGCCGTACTGAATATGAAAGAATCTAAGACTGCGGGCGAATATTATTTTGTTTCTGATAAACAAAATGAATAACTGCCAATCGCTTTAAAACTAATTAAAAATACTACTGTTTATTGTGTTTATAGCATTGGCCTTACTTTATGTTCCGTTTTGTTATCATAGTTTTAATAAGAATCATTTTATTATTGTTTATGAAAAACAAGTGTGTGAAAATATCACTTATGTTACCAAATTTCAATATGCTAATACCCTCTTAATCATTTTAATTAAATTCTCAGGCAAGCCATACTCTGTATCTTTATTTCATTTCAAACATTTTCAGGTTTTGAGGAGCCTTTCAAAATGAATTAACGATACCTTTGATATTTAAATTTTCATTTAACAGCGATATATTTAATATACAAAACAGTGAAATTCAATAAATTTTGGTTAATTTTGTTTAACAGTAAATTATGTTTAAAGATACTAACAATTCATAGATTTTCAAGCAATCTTTTATTTTGTGACGTAGGATACTCAACCACCGGGAGTCTCGGCTTAGTTTTTGTGTCGAAAATTTGATATTTTTTCAGCATTTGTGTCAAAATACTTACTTGGTTCCCAACAATAACATTATGATAGTCTTTCTGTATTTTTATGGTAAGTTTTCAACCTTTCCTGATGTTGAATCAACTTTGTTTCTCTTGAAACAACCATGGCCTAAAAGAAAAATAGTTAGCTGAAAGTAGAATGTTGCGTACTGTTTAGTCTACTATTTCTCTGAGCTAAAGCCGTTCCTGTATACACTCTGATTTACTTTACTGTGATAAGAAAGCCACGTCATATTTTCAGTTGTTAAGCCCGTGTTTCAAGCTCTGTCACCTGTAGTGAATAAGTAAACTACGCTTTATTCATTCATGGTTTCGAAGCTTCGAAGTATCACAACTCTATACAACTTTAATGAAAAGAGTTTCACAAAAACTGAATAGGCCTAATAGAAGAGTCGCTGGGTCATCGTGATTAGTATGTTATTCGCTGCCGTGTTATATAAGATGAGTGAAGAGACCTGCTTTGTTTTAATGCTATAGAGATTGTTTCTTCTCAGAGACTTACAAAACTGGTGACAAGAATCAAGACACAAGAACACATGAATAGCCTTTGTCGCTTTGACAAATACACTACAATGAACTCGTCTGGAAATAGCAGAACCTCTCCTTGAAATATAACTATTTTCCTGTAGCCATTAAATGACATTGGATAAAAGGGATCTTTTATGTGGCAAGCTGTAGGAACGAGCCTGGGGCTCTCGCTACCACCTTCTTTAAAGCAATGAAACCCTTGTGTGAACTGGGGGTGGGGGCTTTCGGTACTCTTTTCATCAGAACATTACGTTTATGGCTGTTACCTCGACATTCAGTATGCTAGAACTATGGCAGTGAAAAAGGCAAATGTCATCAATAACTTTGTCAGATACCCCAGAACAAAGCCTAGGGCATATCTCCCATCCAATGCACCGAAAACGGCTCCTAAAAAGTGACACCAGATATGATTGAAACATGCACGTATCAATAACCCTTCAAACCATTTAAACATGTCTGATAATTTTTTGTGCATAGAAGTATTTCTTCATCAGTGGGTAACAAGCCTTGGAGATAAAATTCAGAATTCGAAGCATTCTGGAAATAATTAAATTTGCAAAGAAAGGTCTTTTTAAAAAAGGATGATTAGAATAGTGCTAGACATTTGGCTGACAGTTAAGAATTATTTGGAAAAGATCTAATTTTTTCGACTCAAAGTTGCGTGATTTTCATAAAGGATATTTCTGCTAAAAGTACAGGAAACTACAATCCTGGACAAAAGGTTATGAGACAATTACTTTTTACGTGATTTTCTGCGTAATTGACCTCAAAACCAGTGGTATGCCCCTCCCCCCAATGTCAACGTTGGTGATGGGTAATAGCAGCTGATTGTGGAAGCCAGAAAACCTAAAAAATCAATACAACATTGATAATGGGGGCAGGGGTTGGGTGCTTTTGCAATAAATGATTATAACAGCAAATGTCTCCTAACTTTTGTCCAGGGTTGTAGATATTACACATGATGTAACAAACAGCTGTATGTAATTCGACATCCATGGCTCAATGTCCTTGCTATAAAGCCTTGGTGATTCTTCAAAAACTTTCAAGTCTTTAAAAATCACTAATTGTCGTATGTTTATCTAGACTTGTACTAAGTTTAGATTACTGACGTAATGTATCACAAACAAATTTTTGTTTTTAATTAGGGAAAGTACAGATCCTTTTCTTTTAACCAATAACCCCTCATATAGTATATATATAACTATTTTTCCATGTATACAAGGCTTTCTTTTCACATAATCGTGTGAAAATATGTTTAGAAATACTAGCTCGAAGACCCGGATGTTCGCGGTTTCTTTTTCTAAACGAGGTCGCATGAGCACCATAACGAGATCTTATCTTTAAATCAAATAAAGTCAATGCCAATATTTTCCCACACATGTTTCTACAAAGAGTCTTACTTTGGCGAAAAGCTGCTCATAACTGCTTCGGGACAATAAAGATTTTTTCAACAGTAAACGTTCTGTAGCTTCTGCTCAAATATTTAGCAGCAAAATCCCGGATTTGAATCGGCCTTTAACAAAGGATGGATTATGTAGGATATTGTGTGGTATAAAATAGTTTAATATCACAATGGGTTCAACCCTTTACCAATAAAGGTCTTTAAAAAGTATTTCAAGTTTACAATTTCTCAAATTTCTTGCTCTAAAAAGATTACTCTTATTATTCTGCGCCGTACAAAGTGCATTTATTTATCAACCCTATGATTTGTTTGGGCTTTTATATTTATTGACTCGTGAGCTGATAGATTTAGAAGCAGTTGAAACGCTTGAGCAGTTTTCTTTAAGCGGAACATTAAAAAGGTTTAAGTAGTGATATGAACACTGTTATCTTGTATTGTTGTACGTTTTCTATTAATTCAATAATTGGTAATAACAGGGAGTTGATTCAAGATAATATATTTCCAGTAAAGCAGCGTGTTT